TGCAAGCTGTCGACGAAAAGACGATCACGGCAACGATTGAGATGCTAAAGGGCGGCGCGTTGCCAGGCGATACAGTGTCAGTCAAGGTCTCGGTGCAGCATATTAAACGGATAAAGAGCATGCATGGTGTTATTGTCACCATGTACAGGCAAGGCAGGGTTGACACGGCACCGCCTGCCTCCATGTTCGCCGATATCATGTCGAAAGAAGAAACCCGCAAGCTGGCGAAAGAAGACTACTACCCGCGATCACGGACCGGGTTGGGCGGCCTATCACTGACCTCGACTTCGTCACTGAGCGTCTTCCGGAAAGATTTATCCCAGTCTGTTGCTCCACTCATCATCGATCCGGTCACTTTGGAAACGACGGTGACGGCATCGCTCAAGGTGCCCGAAGATGTTTTCCCGACCATCAAAGGTGTGCCCGGGGACATGGTCAGTTTCAAGTACCAAGTAGAGGTTCTGGTTGATTTGGGTGGCAGGCTCGCGAGCCAACTTCAAGGTGGAGGCCAGTCTAGGGTAGCTCAGTTTGCACCCGGGTCAGGGGCCACCGATGGCAACAACGCGGCGCTCAACTCGTGGGGAGGAAATGTGATAGACACGGATCGGTTACGACGCGAAAAAGGAGTCATCTCGGTCGTTTTTGAAGTCATTCTAGGTTCCACGGATAGCTCGAGGTTGCGTGGGCGGAGTAATACGTTACGAACATACCAAATGCGAGAAGGGTCGCTCAGCAGGGAAGAGGTTTCTAGCCCCTGGCCAATCGACGACAATCACGCGGACGACGGTGAGAGCTACTGGCCGCAGCCTCCTGAGATGCCAGCTCCTCTCAGCCGGCAGCCTACGATCACGATACACCCCACGAGTCCTCCAGAGGAGATGCAAGCACCAGCTTACGTACCTCCCCCACAAGTTCCGGACGAAGGTAGCATGACGGAGAAAGAGCGAGCACGGCGTCAAGAGGAGAGACTATTACCGAGCCGACCGCCCCAGATGTCAGAAGCGGGTCCGTCAGGGGCATCGGCACCAGAGCCGAATATCTACGACGCCGAGGACGAACCTGAGCCCGAACCGCAATCACATCATCGTGGAGCGAATGGGGTGGAGGAAGAGCCATCTGCGCCAACGCTGAATGACATTTCGACACACCAAGAAGCGCGGACGGAAGACAAACAGGAGCTCGAGCGGCAACGGCTCATGGTCGAAGCCAGCGCGCCGCCAGAATTCCCAGACGACTACGACGCGGGACCCAGTGCGTCGGCATCAGCACCACCAGCGGATGTCGCCGAGCCGTCGGCACCGGTATTAGCGGATGAGGACGACTACGGCCAGCAGTACAGTTACAGCACAGAAGCAGGTACTGGACAGTCCAGCCACCAACACCACGCAGCAGGCTCAGAACCGCTGCCGAGGTATGAGCGATGATGATACAATGGAAAGGGGCCGAGTTGGAGCACGAGGCATGAAAGAACAATGGTTGAATAGTGTATAATAAGTGTGGTTGTTGTGAGCATTTGCGTAGTGCGTCATCTACAAAGTACCTATAGAGACACGAACGTGTGAAACGAAATTTCGAGAGCGAAAAATACAGCAAGCAATATGACATATATTTTCAGGTTCAAACTTGAGTACAAGTGATATCACATGTGTCTCCCATATACGTGTTTAGCATGGATGGTCAAAAGTCGAGAACCAAAGTCTTGGCGAATGTAAGCTTGTTCAGCCCCAGCTGCATGGCATATGCAGATTTGGCGCTCGGCGAGCCGATTTTGACATGCGATGCACTCGGCAGCCACCCATCTTGGCAGGAAGTGTTTGCATATGTAAATTATCAATTTTGGTCCCGAGTGTTTGGTACCACCACAGCAACACAGCCTTGGGCGGCTGCCCCCCCCCCCCACAACCTCTTGGCTGCGAACCATCTCAACTTCTGTTCTCGTTACTGTGGGAGGTAGTTCGAGAGCCAAGACAGAAGAGATGGGTTGGATAGGAAGGAGGGGGCGAGGCCCTCAGGGAGCACCGGGTCGTGGGGGAGGGGGGGGGGGGAACGAAGTGGACGGTCGGGTGAGTGGCTAGGTAGCTAAGGTAGGCATACCGTATGCTGAGGTAGCTTTGTGTTGCCTACCTTACTGACCTCACGCGTGTTTGCTTGTTGGAACTTGTTACATGGAACACGAGAAGGGGGAACGGGTGATCCACCGCTGCGACGAGGAAAAAGTGCTTGTCGAAGGCTTGATTTTGGCGATCAAACGCTGCTGCCCATGTCTTGTCCTCTTTCCCTTTTGTTTTGTTACAGATTGTCGATACCCCCCCGGTTCCGCCATTGGCGGATTTTCCGGTATTTCCTTTTTTCACGGAGTCTCTGGGCGAACGAGAATGTCACGCTGAAGGTTGGGGCGGGTATGACCATTTCGGCCCCGAGGGCGGCGCGAGCAGATTTCTGGAGATCAAACATTTCAAACTCTTGCTGCCTTCTTACCTTACGCTAGGCAATCAAATTATCCATCTACCTAGGAATTTGTGACCTGGATATGCGTTACGTAGGCATCCACATGTGGTTCGACATCTAGTATGACGCTACGGACAAGTAGGCTAAATAACCAACGCCAACGCCGACGAGAGAAAAAAAAGCTGACGGAAGTCGAGGTGTAGTTGGTGACAGGCCGTATGGAGTGCGTTTCCAAAGGGAACCAAGGCCCAGCCAAGGAGCGGGAATGGGGGGTGGTGGCACTGGAGAGTTTGAGACGCCAACCCGTCGAGACTGCCGTCGCCGCAAAGCTTGGCGGTTCGAACGGTAGGAACGGTACGGTACCGTTCCTTCGAGGGGGCGCGCCCGGGCGGCTGGACCCCTTTGCTTGGCATTGATTGTCAGGTCGTTTCTGCTGTGGTAGTTGGGTAGGCGTGGTAGGTAATGCTGGAGCCCAAGGTTTTGCTGGCATCGTGTCTGATAGGTGGCTGTGGCAGCCAAAACGTGTGAACCTACCGGTACCTACTTACCCAGTAATGCTGGTTCAAAGGTAAGATCTGGCAGCTCATGTGATTGATTGATTGGTGTGCGTCTGTGGTAACCGTTCGTGAGTATCAAAGATTTGGGAGGTTTACCTTTGGCCAATGGGAAGAGAAATGGCGGATGCTCGGCATGGTTCTCTATGGTGGGAGCACTGAATGCTTTGGTGGCTGAGTCTCGTGCGTGTTTTCCATTCTCCTGCACAGCATATGAACGATACGATGACAGCAGACGCAGCGGCAAGCAAAGAGGCTTAGCTGCAGAAAGTGTGCTGTTCTCTTCTCGTTCTGATGGTCGCGGCTGCGGAAGTGGGATAGGGACCCAAAATCGCGCCAATGTTGGCTGGTGGGTTCGGCACGTTCATGCGGGTACCGGATCCATCTGGCATCTCGATGGCTTTGACCAAAGTGGAGGTTTTCTAGCAGGTTCCCATCAATGTGAAGAGAACCTCAAACAGTGACACCTGACGTTTTGGATTTGGGACGTCATTTATGGTGCTCCTGGTCCGTCAGCTTGCAGTGCTTGCGTAGGTATTGTTCATGTTGGGCTGTCTTCTTAGGTATTCGAGTACCTATTCCTGCCGGTAGTCTGCAGTAGTAGGAAGGAAATGTCTCTACGGTCCGCGTGAGAAGGGCAGGTCAGCCGGGACGAGCGACATAGGCAATACGTTGGAAATGTCTCGCTAGGGAAGGAGGCCTCAGTCGCATGACTGCATTCGTGTGCGACTACCCTTGGAAGTTGCGAGACTCTCCTTTCCCAGAACGTCACTTCTTTTTCTTCCCGAATCTCTCGTTTTCTTTCCTCCCATGCGAGGCAAGCGCCCACGGAGATGCATCTCGCAGGTGGGAGCAGCGACAGTCAAGGGCGAAGACGAGTCCAGCTGTCCTAACCACTTTGGCGGCAACTAATGACCTAACGACCTACCTAGACACCTAGACTAACTCTGGCCCGAATCAAGGTGCCTCATTCGTGTTAGCACACAACGAACCGAACATCGGAATACAAATTGTGTTGGGGGGAGAGAGAGAATCTGTCATCATGGCGTTCAATGCTGCGGCATATACCGAGTGACGGTCCATCTATGCACCGCGCCCAAGGCGAAAGCTATGCCTAGAAGTTGGGACGGACCGCATTTGGGTAAGGTAGGTATGTAGGTTAAGGCAAGGCACGGTAAAGTTAGGTAATGACTGATGGCCCACCTCCTACGAGCTGCTCCCTCAAAAAAGACCGTGTGGTCATGGGAACAAATCGACCTCAAAAGCTTGCAACATCATCAATGGCACCGGGAAAGAAAGAAAAAAAAAGAAAAAAAAAAGACAGAAAGAGACGGGAGAGAGGACGCATCACCATCCCGCCACCGGGGACACGCATCCGGCCAATCAGGCGGTATCCACCTTTCCCCAAGTTGTGGCTGGGCGCTGGCGGTGTCGGCTGTGGCCTGCTGCGCTGCGCTTTGGGTCAGGTCTGCAAGGAACAGTCATCACCTTCAGCCATCCCAGGCCTGAACCGAGTCTTTACTGTGGAAGAGTGCTGTGCAAAGCACTGCAAAGTTCCATTATTGGACACGGGGGCCCCGTAGCTAGTGGTTAGTTGGGTCCGGGATTACTCGCGGGTACCTCAATCTATCGCGCTCATCGGGCCTTGGCCGATTGTATTTCGTGTCCCCGCCCCGCCTGAAAACGTGCCGCGGTGGTGTTCAATCGGGGTTCTTTCGCTCATTGGGTCCCAGTGGAGTGCTACTTTACGGCATGCGCAGCTGTCTCGGGGGGCACTGTCTTGGGAATTGGGATTGGGGAAGAAAAAAAGCTTCGATTCCTCGGCCCCGCAGCTCATCGCTCTCTCCGAATGGCGCACCTGTGACCTCAGCACAGCAAAAAGAAACTACCTTTACACACTGAGGCGCGCAGGGCACCTCAATCTGCATGCTGGCAGTGAGTGGCAGCTGGGTAAGGGTACCAAAGTACCCATCCGACGACGGGATACCTAGGTACACTACCCTACGTGCCTACGTGCCTATGGAAACTAAAATGCTTAGACTGAAAAGTACTGGGCTGATGCGTCGTACCTACCTTCCACCTCCACTGCGACTGCCAGGTGGGACGGGGGAGGGGAGGGGGAGCCACCGGGCAGCATCGCCCAGCCCGTCACTTTCGATGCAGAGCAGGGATCTCCTCGAACCTGTCACTGGGCCACTCACTTCTTTCACTGCCTTATTACCATGCCTTACTCCATAAGGTACAGATAGATGGGGGGCCCTTTTTATCGACACACGTTTCCGCCCTTCTTCTACCGCTGCCGTCTCGGAATTCTTTCATCTCACACACTCACTCTTATCCACCGGTTCGCCTCTCTCCCTGTCTTTCCCATCAGATTCTCCCCATCAGTCGGCTCTCTGAATAGCTTCATTGTTTCACATATCAAAACACATAAAACAGCACACACACACATATATACAAGATGGCCAGCAACGACTACTACAACCAGGGTGGCAACTACAACAACCAAAACTATGGCCCTCCTCAAGGCGGTTACCCTCAGCACCCCCAAGCTGTAAGCACTCACCTCATCTCGTCCTCCCTATTCCCCACGCCCAGACAATCCTTCACTGTTGACGCATTCCAATGCCTCACATCGATCACATGCGCCGGACCTCTACCTTACGCACAATCACGAATTCGAAATGCCCAAACAATCACTAACAGCTCAACCAGGCCTACGGTCCCCCTCAAGGTGGCTACCAGCAGCAGGGCGGCTACTACCCCCAAGGCGGCCAGCCGCCCATGCAGTACCAGCAACAGCCTCCCATGCAGGCGCCCCGGCAGAAGAAGCAGGGCGGCGGAAACTGCTTGACGGCCTGTCTCGCCGCCCTGTGCTGTTGCTGCGTCATTGACGAGACGTGCGAATGCTGCGCAGAATGGTGAGTTTTCTTTGTCCTTATCTCACTATCAATCATCAAATACGGTGGCTAACGATACCCTCTAGTTGCGAGTGCTGTTTCGACGTTTGCTAAATGAATTGAGAAGAGCTTTCTCTCACACACACTTCAGCTCATCTCAACAAAATGAGAGCTGAGTGAGAGATATTTTTCTCTTTTTTCACTTGAGGGATTCGGCGAAAACCTGACATCCTCGGTGTGTCAAATGTACGGTCTGTGGTTTCCGTTCAAAGAAAGTGGGGAACCCGACGGGATCACGGCAAATGCCTTACCTCGAAGAAAAAACTGTAATTGGCTCCCAACAAACCGACTCCAGGCGCCCAAGCTTTTTCTTGACGACGACAACGGCAACCAAGCAAGCGGAGGAAATTGATGGAAATCGACGCCTTTACTTATGCGACCTCTCGCACGGCCAAATCTGGCGAGCAGACTTGCAGCAGAAACGAAACCTACGACGACGACGAAATGAAGTTGGGATGGTTATATGGACGGATCGATTGGAGGAAAAGGGAAACTTTGGGAGAGGCGGGTTCACGATGGGTTCAGCGACCTCGTTGATTACTTTTTCCCACGGGCGTTCATGGCGCATTTTTCTTCTTCTCTCCATCTACCTGTCAAATCTGGTTGAAGTTATTGTGTCGGTGGGCGCATTGTTCATGCGCCGTAATGACTTCCTTTTCGTAGTCGTCTTTTTTGGAAAATGAAGATATATACCTCACTAAACATGAGCCTTGAAGAAACTTGTGACCAACGTGACATGAGGTAAGCTATATGGACAGACACACCAACGTTCAGTCAACAGTATCGTGTACGGCTTGAGTGTGTATCTACTTTACTCAGCGTACGAATGGCAGTGGCGAAATCACGCTCTTGCAATTTTTGACATACAAATTTAGGATAATAACACCGATATTTTTATTCCTATCAAACGCAGCTAAGCGCCTCACAACTCAAGACTGTTCTTGGTCGGGAAGCCCAGGGCGTGATTCATCGCTGGCCATCATGGAGACTTTTTCTAACCGCTATCCATCAACTCATCCCTAGTTGTCCAGCTGGACATAGTTGGCAGGGAAGAGACCCTGCTTGCCACCGTAGGAACCGAACCACCAATCCTCGTCAGGGAACTCGAGGTCCTTGATCGTTGCATTCTCGGGGAACGAAAGTTCTAGAGAAAGAGAGTTAGCATGGTTACGTCAAAAGATCATGGGGGTGCGCTCTTACCATTGTCCTCAGCAGCCTCGTAGTCGAACTGCGCGGTGGCTGTTCGGCCGTCAGCGGCAGCTGCCGGTTCCGGCTCCGCTTGAGCCGGTGCGGGAGGAGGGGAGCTTCGTGCCGCCGGCGCCGGTTCAGGCTCATCCTCGACAAGCTCGACGTAGTTGCTGGGGAACAAGCCGCTCTCGCCGCGGGAGTTGGTTCCCATCCACCAGTCCTCGTCCACCATCTCGATGTTTGTGACATACTCGCCCTCGCGAAGCTCAAGCTCGTTGTCTTCCGCCTTCTCGTAGTCGTATTGAATCACGGCGCGTTTGCCGCCAGTGTCTGCTTGGCCTGCCGCTACCTGCTCCTGACCAAATTGCTGCTCTGCGACAGCTGCGGCAGCGCCACGGCCGGCATCGTTGTCTTCCGGGAGGTCCTCCTCCCTAGGCAGCTCTTGCTGAGTAGGGATAGGGCGGGGAGGCTCCCTCTCCTCGGGCGCCTCCATCTCGACCTGGGGTCCGCGAGATACGGGCTGCGCAACTCTGATGGGAGACTGGGGCTCCTCCTCCTCCTCTTCCTCTTCAGGGGCTGGCCTAGAAGGCAGACCGGGCAGAGCGAACCCACCGGCCGGGGGAGGCCGGGAACCGCTGGGCGGGGGAGGAGGAGACGGCTCATCGTATTCTTGCTGCTGGGGCTCGCGGGGAATGGGCGGCGCTCCACCGGTGAAGCGCTCCTTGAGGGCACCAATGCCGCCACTGGGAGAGGCAGGCGTCTCGACACTTCGCTGGGCATCCTCGCCGGTGTTCTCCTGGCTGATAGAGCCCTTGCCGTACTCGGGCATCTTGACGGGTCCCCAGGACTTTCCAGAGTAGCCGCTCTTCCACTCTCCGGTCGACTGAACACCAATCGGAGAAGTGACCGGAGGCGAGACAACGTTGGATACGGATCCGCCCTGCTTTCCCTTCTTCTCGGCCCAAAGCTGAGCTGGCGTCTTGCCACCTTGGTCGGCAAATGTACGGCTTGCGGCACCTACCGGTGGGGGCGCGGGGGTGGAGGGTGCGCCGAATCCAAGACCACCGGGTGCGGGGGCCTTGGTGCCGGTGAAAGCTGCCGCACCGCCAAATTTGTTGGCGACCTTGGGCTTCGGCAGTGATGTCAAGCGTTCTGACTGGTTGAATGCGGCACTTCGCTCGGCCAGCGACTTGGGCCGCTCGTCTTCCTCGGGCTCCTGTGCCGCAGCCTCTGAGGGCTTCTGTGCCTTGGCGCGAATAGCTGCAATGTCGACCTTGCCGATGGGTTCGTACGCACCCTTGACCGGGGCAGGCCTGTCGTCCTGCTGGTTCTTCGCTGCGGCGCGAATCGCAGCAATATCCACCTTTCCAACGGGTTGGTATGCGCCCTTCACGACATCAGGCCTGTCTTGGGAACCGTTTCCGTTGAAGCCGGAGGGTTCTTGCCGTTGCTTCGTGAGCTCTGCCATGTTGACCTTGGTGGGCTTGTACGCAGATTCGACCTTCTCCAGCTGGGAGCGAGTCACCTGAGGCGCATCGTCTCCCCAGCCATCCTCGTCGACGCCTGCGGGCTTGCGGTTTCGCGCGGCGACGATGGGGTTGACGCCGCTTGATGATGTGGTGGGTGTGAAGACGGGCTTGGAAGCAACCGGAGGTGGGGCAGCGGAAGACGTGGAGCCGCCTGCTGAGTACTTGGCACCGGAGGCATCGGCAATCTTGCGCATAACGCTCTCCGGCTCGAGGTCGCTGTCTGAACGAGCGGTGATCTGGACGTGGTAGCCGTGGAGGATCTTGGAAACGGCGGCGGTATGGGTGGTGAAGTAGCCCTTGGTTCTCTCGGGGACACCGCCTCCGCACCAAGCAATCAGGGCGTGCTTGGGAAGGCCAGAGTTGGGGTCCTTGACTTTGACAAAAGCGAACTGGATGCGGCCCTCATTGAAGTCTTCGATGAGCTCGGAGAGCTCGCCGTCTACATGGGAAAGGACACATGTCAGCGCATTGTCTTCCCCGAGCGAGGGTCGGGAGCTCGGGCGAAAGAGCGGGGGAACTTACCACCAGTGCTCTGTACCTTCAGCACACTCTCCTTGTTGCCGCTGTCCTGGAAAGCATTGGCCAAAGGAGCCTGAACTGAGAACAAGGCCCATTGAGCGTATGTTGGGGAGCTCGAGTTTGGGGGCGGGCCGTTGATGACTCCCTGGTAGCTGCTCTTGATCGAGGGTCCGTTGATGGACAGATTGAGTGACGCCATTGCGAGTTTGGGCAGTAAGCTCGACTAGCAGTGGTCGTCGATCGTTGAGTCGTCAGTAGGTGAGGGGGATTGGTGAGAGGGGAAAGAGGTCTAATAGTAGGGTGGAAGATGTTTGGTCGTAAAGGTCTCCGTCGGAGTGTCGCCTATGTCTGACGGGCAAGAAGCTGACGTAGCAAACCAGCCCTCTATTCTATTGCAGAAAGTCGTGGACAGCCGAGAGTTGGAGAGGCGCAGCACAGGTGGAACTAGAACTTGGAGGTGAAGCACGGTCCCGCCAGTATCCAATACGCGGACGGTCGGTTACGCAGCTCAGCGTTGTTCAGCGCTGGCCAGGTGTCGAGGCGGGGCAGGCTGGGCAGCTACCTAATTATGCAGTAACTGACTGGCAGTGACTAGGAGCCTGGGAGGGGGGGACGGGAGGGGAGTACAGTGACACACTGTGCTCCGAAGGTGCTTGCCGCTTTCGCTCTCCGCTTCGGGCCTCTGCGCTGCTCTAGTGGGGCAGCTTGGGCATGCCCCCGTGTGGTCCCCGCCGAGTGGGATTCTTCACATATGTAATTATGCCACGTAAATATCGCGACAGATGACGCAACTCGAGGCTTTCCTCCCTACAGCCATCAACCCATGCAGCAATCCCATCTCCTGCCCGCGGAGATCGCTATACCCGACACAATCGCAGCCACCCCGAAAAATCACGACTTGCCCCTCCAAATAATACCCCTCCACCCGACGTATCGGAGACCCGTGGTTTATCAGCCGTTGGACTTGTCATTCCGCGATTCAACGTCCGACCAAGCCCGTTCTTCCTCTCGAGTGCGTTCCACAAGACTTTACGACTCCACGCGATCCCTTCTTGCGGTCTCTTCTCTTCCATTGACCCCGAAATCGGTAACCCTCGACGCATCACCTACAACGACCAACTATCCCAAGAGTTCGCGATCCGCCAAAAAAGCACAATGTCGACGATCACGGAGATCACCAGCCTTGCCGACTGGGAGAAGCACATTGCCTCCACCCCGCCTTCCACCCTCCACATCATCTCCTTCCATGCACCATGGGCCGCCCCATGCGCCCAGATGGCTACCGTCCTCTCGACCCTTGCCTCCGAATACCCCGTCACCAGCCCCCCGCAGACATCCTGGGTTTCCATAAACGCCGAAGAGCTCAGCGACATTAGCGAGACATACAACGTCACCGCCGTCCCCTTCCTCGTTCTCCTGCGCAATGGTCAAGTCCTCGAGACCGTCAGCGGTAGCAGCGCTGTCAAGGTCCGCAACGCGATCGAGACACACGCCAAGAAGCCCGCCGGTGCCGCTGCCACGGTAAATGGCAACCAGGGCGTCGAGAATGGCCCCGGCGCGATGCAGGTCGACGAGCCTGTCGACCCGGCCAAGGCCAAGGAGGAGTTGTTCAAGCGCCTGGCGGAGCTTGTCAAGGCTGCGCCAGTCATGCTCTTCATGAAGGGCACCCCTAGCTCGCCTCAGTGTGGCTTTTCAAGACAGCTTGTTGCCATCTTGAGAGAGCACTCGGTCAAGTACGGCTTCTTCAACATCTTGGCAGACGATGAGGTACGACAGGGCCTGAAGGAGTATGCTGAGTGGCCAACCTATCCTCAGCTCTGGGTTGATGGCGAGCTGGTTGGTGGTCTTGATATCGTAAGTCAAAAAGTCTCAGCACGGTGGCCGACTCACAAATACTAACATTATCCCTTCCTTAGGTCAAGGAGGAACTCTCCAACGATCCCGAATTCTTTGGCCCTTACAGCATCAAGGCCAGTGGTGAGGCCGCTGCTTAAACCGTCTAGTCATCAACAACATCCTGCATATTCACGCCTGCCCGGTTCTCACCGTGTAAGACGTGACGATTCTCGTCGTCTTTACATACCCATTCACATTTGACTTATATCCTCGCCTGGCCACTCAAATTCCAAATCGTATCTGGCTTTTGGATTGGGCGGCGGTACAGACCTTGGTATGATCCTATCACCCGCCAGCCAGCCATCGTTTTAAGGGCTCCACGATGTCCCCTATCTGAGAAACATGACTGGGAGGAGGCACTTGGGAAACCGATCAAAATATCTTTGATCTAAGATACTGCGGCTCCGGGCTCAGAGATTCGGCATGGTCAGAGTAATCATCGTCTGCAAGACACTGGCCCGGCATACAAAAGTTGACGCATTTCAAGGCATGAGAACATGAGATACGGAGGCGATTTCAACGAAACGGATACTTTCAGGTACCTTAGTTAAGGCTCGTTCGTCTTTACGTAATCGTCAATGACAATGGAATCATTCAAGGTGGACAGTATAATTCCTTGTGATGTACCTTCTAATTACAGCGCCTCATTTCCCTGTGTTAAAGACTTTGTTTACTACTCTGTATTCACTCCTATACGCGATACAACCGTCATAGTCATGTCTTCACCCAGAACAGGGTGCGGCCCAGAATAATCTTTGTCTGTTGCAGCAGGTAGGCTTGTCTTACCCCCTGGTCGAGGATCAAGGTAGGAGCCAATTACGGTGGTAATATAATCATTCAAATATCGCTAACTTCAGTTCCCATTACTCCCATAGATACGATCCACAAAGAGCCATGATAGCATTACACTCTACCTTATCCTAGGTCCCGTGCTGAGCAACGACACCATACAAGGCTGGGCACCTTGATGGCCGTGGGTGATTCACCTTCAGTGGATTTCCGCAGCCACCTCCCTCGCCAGCCTTGTTTACTGTGAGGTCAGATGAAAGAGGTGCCTACCCACACGTGACACAGGTACCATCCAGAGAGGAAGCCTTTATACCCCCCCTCAAATCCATCCCCGTCACCAGCCAGGAGGCGCCCGTCTAGGTCGACGGGTCAGGTCAAACTGGCTGGGTGGTGGAGTGGTTTATGGTCAACAATTAAAAATGCCAACCAGCCTACTCGACGACAGGCTTAGCGAAGTACCCGAGTTCGAATCCCAGCATGAGCGCCAGAGATGTAGCCCCCAGTCCAGCACCGGGGGGGTGAACTCTTTTTGGTTCATGTACTTTAGATATATGTCAATCTATTCCTTCTCAGCGGGAAGGAAAGAGCCAACAGGAGTTGTTCCTCTAACCCTTTACTTCCGGGCCTCATATGTAGTCTGTGTGCCTTAATGGGAAGAAGGAAGATATCTGATTGCTTCATCCAATTGGTCCGAAATCTCTGAGATACTGGTCTCAATTGGCTCTTGGTGCTTTGTATAGCCCTCTTCTCCACATATTAGCTAGCAATTGTGCTCATATAAGGCCAAGTATCGAACTAAATGTCGGACCTTAGTACCTGCCTTTGCAATTTTCTCTGAGAACAGATATCTACAACCCACCCAGTCAACATCATCTTTAGAAAAAGCCGTAGAGTCGTCAACTCTGCAGCACTGCGTTAAGGAAAGGTGAGAGAGAGTAGTGATATGTTGCGCAAGTTCATTGCTAACCTAGGCTCTTTTCAATTCCATGAGAGAATGGCTCCGTTTCGCGGTCATCCAGCACACTGAACATGTCTAGTGATGTCTCATACAGGCAACAAAATGGATATAGCTTCCATGAAATTGAGATCCTTTGGCATGATCATGGGCTTAAGTTGAGAATCAGGCCAGACTGGCTAGAACCTGTACTAACTCCTGGATTCGTCTGAAACTATGTCATATAAACAATCTATAACGAGGAATCCTGAAAGTCGATATGTTCATACTGTCTACATGAGATCTCATGTCCTCCCTCTCTGACAATATCATCATTGAAGGTATAACAACGAGTTCATCTATTGACAAATACCCAATCCTACCTCTTCAAATTCACCCCCCTCGCCCCATCCCCTATTCTTCCAATCGACGTCCCCCCCATCTCTTACATCACAACAACCAAAAACGCAGTCACAGCGCCCAAAACAGCAGCAGCATGCCCACCCCCTTGCATCGTCCTACACCCCGCATTAGGCACCGTAAGCAAAGCAGGAGACGTCGCCACAGCAAACGACCCGCCACTCGGCGCCGCGAAACCGGCCGCCGTCTCGAGGATCATGGACGTCCAGAGGGACGACGGCAACGTGATGCTGGGGCCAATCTGGACGACGGGCGTCGCGCCGATGCCGACGCCAAGTTGCGGCTGGGGCGTAGGGACGATGGCTACCGTGGAGGAGACGGAGGTGCTGGGTTGCTTGACCCCCGTGTTGCTGCCACTACCGCTGCTGCTGGAACCGGAGCCGGAGCCAGAACCGGAGCCGGTCTCACTATCGGACTCGGTGTCGGAGTCTTCACCTGACCCCTTTCCTGAACCACTGCCGGAACCACCGCTCTCGTCTCCGCTCTTGTCGCCCCCCTTTTCGCTTTCCTTGCCGCCACCAGCGGTGGTACTAGGCACAGGGGTCACCGAAACCCCGCTAGCCGTGCCAGTAGGGCCATCAGTAGTCGACACAGGAACATCGGGTTTGGCCGCGCCGCCGTCTGTAGGCAGAGTCCCTTTATAAGGCAACGCAGCGCTCGAACTGACGGCAGACGGCGCCGCCGCCGCCGGGTTAGAAGTCTGAGGCTCAGGCTTCGTCACAGCCGTGCCCGTGCCGTTGCTCGGCGGGTTCGAAGGCGACGGGGCAGCAATTGGTACGGGAGCTACGGCGGCGGGCTCGGTGACGGGGAGGGCGGGTAGGCCCGTAGGGGTGGCGCTGCTGTTTGCTGCTGGGTTCGCGGCGCTCGGGAGGACGGGGGGCTCGCTTGCGGCTGGGGGCGAGACGGGCGTGGTGCTGTTCTTGGGGACTGGGATAGTCACGATCGGTAGGGAGGGCGTGGTTGGCGCTTCTGACGTGATGCTGGTGCGGTTGGCTGGGACTTCTACTGCTGGTTGAGTGGCGGCGGGCGCCTTACTCTCGGCCGGCTGCTGGATCCGTTCTTAGTGTTTGCTATATCGGGAAAACTAAGTCAGGGGAAACTCACCTCGTCGCTTGGAGCTGTCTGGTTGTGGGTGGGCGCGAGAGATGGGAACTTCGAGGGTGTATCGGGCAACGTGGAGTAAATAGGGGTAGGAGTGACCTCGGCGTTCGCGGGCGCCGTCTGGTTCTTGGTGACCGAGAGGCTTGGGAAAGCCGGGCCCGAGTCCGGGATGGTAGAGTATATCGGCGTGGGAGTGACCTCAGCGCCACCTCCTGGGGGCCCCGTCTGGTTTTTGGTCGCCGACAATGTCGGGAACGACGCGGGCGCGGAGGGGGCGGAGGGGGCAGACTGGATAGTCGAATATATCGGCGTGGGAGTAGCCTCGGGGGCTTGGTTCTTCTCGGCGATGCTTGTGAGCGGTTTCGAGGAGTTACGAGGTACGGCTTCCTCATTCGGGGTCGCGGGCTCCTTCTTGGACCTGCCGCTCCCCTGTCTAGAAGGGGAGGAGACTCCAGGCGCAGTGCCGTTCAAGATAGCGTTCTTGGACTCATCAGGCTGGATGAGAGCGGGCTCCGTGGGGCTAGCCTCCGCGACCGCGACGCCGGCGGGAATAGCATCAGCGGGCAAGACGCCAGAGTACACAACCTTAGGGGGGCCAGCAGCCGCGGTGAGGATCTCCACCTGCGCCGGGTCCGCCCCGAGAATCGTCTGGATGACGGGCTGCTGCGTAAGCTGGGTGATCTGGAACGATTCGGAGACGACGACGGCCTGGGCGGAATCCGTGATAACGATGGCGAAGCTCTCAAAGGCCGTGATGGAGGCGCTAGGGTTCCAGTTCAGACGGCCGACGTTGTCGACTTGCACTGCAAGACATTTTTTGGTTAACAAATCAAGATTCCACTTGATAGTTGACTTTAGATATCTTTACCTGCAATCTTTTCTGCAATGACTGACAAGTCTGTCTTTCCACTGGGAACCAGATCAATGTTGACGGGGGCCTGTAAGCCCGCCGTCTGCCACTCAACCTCGAACTGATGGTTTGGCATCAACACATCCCCGGCTCTCGGCTTCGAGATCTGCGCGTTGCATACAGACACGGCAGCAGCACCGACCCAAAGCCTAAACGACGTGGTAAAACGCATCTTGTTTTCTTGTTGTTTCCTTCAGATGTTTTGTGTCGAGTATAAAAGTCGTACCAAGTTTCACCCAAGATAAGCAACCACGTACTGAGAACTTCGTAAATTTTTTTGAATTAGAGAAAAACGTCGGCCAACTGGGGCTCGGGTATCGAAAGAAGTCGAAGGGGCGGGCGTGTGTAAAACGAACGGAATGCTTTGAAGTGAAGCTGACCTGCAGAATAGGTTTGAAAAAAAAGAAGGGCGTTCAAAGAAAAAAGTGAACAAGAGTTAGCAAGCAGAATCGAAGAAACGCAACTCGAAAACAGCGTAACAAGAAGTGAATGAAGAAACGAAGATCAAGTGTAAGAAGCAAGAAGCGAAAGAGAGCAAGAGAAGAGGGGGGAGCCACTTCGAGATCCTCGCTTCCCGGGTTAGGGGATGAGTTTTGATGGGATGGACCTCTTTCTCGTGGCGGCGCGTGTAAGTCCAACAACTCCTTGGACCGGGGGCCTCGTGGGCAAACTGTACCAGTTCCCCAGAACGTCATCCTAAGCTCAAGGAGAAAAAAGCTCGGCAGGGGGGGGTTTTCGACCATGGCCCACGTCTCATCGGCCGAGACTCGGTACGACGACGGGGGAGAGAGCGGAACCAGAAAGTTGAAAACCCCCTAGTCCCATTCGATGGAGCGGGCTTTGGCCAAGAACTACAATGGCTGCCCAGTTGGCACAAGAAACATTTGCGAGAGCGACACTAAGCCACTTGGTAAGGATCTCGGCGGTAAAGTGTGGTGGAAGGAGGGGCGGTGATGGCGGGACGGCGGGAGAGGATCTCGTAAGTGGCCCAGGGTCGTTTCGCGATCCTGGGCCTTGCTTCATCTTTCTGCCGGTTTCCAGCTGGGCATCTCTCTTTCTTTTCCCCAACTAGTCGCTTGCTAGAGCGTGGCGCATTACGCAGAGATTCAAGCGTAGACCCCATAGTTTGGCCATCAACATGACGGGAACCAAGCTTCGTCGAATTCTTCATAGCTCCTGAGAAAGCTTTCGTCTTAACGATAGGCAGTTAAGCTCGTGTGAAGGGAAGGATACAGGGGGCAGGCCCAGCATAACTTCAGACAACACCTCCCTACTATGCCCCATGTTGAGCCAGTAAGCCCAAGCCATGGGCAGCAAGCACCTTGTTGTCTGTTTTCATCCAATCTCCCCATAGTGATGAGCGGCCGGGAAGACACAAGGGCCATTTCATTCGAACCTTCGAGGGAAGAGGGAGGTTGAAAAAAGTCGGGATGACATGGGAAGGGGCTCGTGTAAAGCCTGCGGCTGAGACGTCTGTACCTGGCGCCGATCAAACCTAAAACCTCCCGCCCGGTGCGACGCGGAGATGGTGGGGCCATGTTAGTTCTCTTGCCTACTGTCTCCGCTGACTCCCTAACAGAAGCGCACTGGTCACGGCCCCTGTCAACGTAATCCGGGCTTGCTGTGGGATGAACCGCCATGTATCACCATTCTTTCTCCGTGTTTGACGCTGTTCAGCCTGTGGATTCCAAGAGTAAAAGGCATGAGGTCTTGGCCATTAGCCATCGGTTACCTGCAACACCAGTACATCGCCAAAAGTCTGGTTACACCATTGGGCCCAACCAATGATCTCCTGCCTTGGGATGATAAGGCCCTGTTGTTTCCGCAAGCATATCCCAGCTCCCTAAGGATACTCTCAAAGCCTTCAGCAATGTGGATTCATTCTCACCATTCAGCCCATTACTCAATGCCGGTTTGCAGTCATGTTGGTAGTGGCAAGGCTCGTTTAAGCAAACTTTTAGTTCGGTATTGTAGATCTTGAACCATGAGAACACCCAACGGCGCTGGGGGTTTCCGGGTGGAAAGATCATACAGTTCATTACGTGACGATGTCAGTCCACCTCGCAGTTTACTTAATATTTACCCAATACTCTCCCTTGCGGCCTTCTTCGCACCCCGCCTCCCAAGTGTTACCTCACAGTAGGCGCTAGGCTGATAATATGTAGTAGCCTTTGACTACAGAACGTGGTAGAGCGTGAAGTCTGAGCTAGACTGATTCATTCCATTCTTTAACCATCCGTGTAAATTGTAATACCATACATGCCTTAGGCCCTGTCGTCTCCATCTCAAAAACAAACCTAACAGGTGGTCCCAACCAGCCTGACTGAGCCGCCTTGCCGCATTAAACATACACTGCCCTCCTTTCGAGTCACCAGTCTCTCACTAATACTTGGTATCCCAGTCGAAATGCGGGTCAACAGGCCCCTAAGCCCCGCCCTCAGACTGGTTCCCAGGCGTGTTGGTGTTCGACACACCGTGGAAGGCATCGCCAAACGCAGAGTCCTCCATCTCCATGTTCATATCCAGACCATCGCCCAGAGACCCGCCGTAGCCAGCCATGGCGTCTCCGGCCGAGTCCAGGTCACCCAGCGAACTGAAGCCGCCGGGAGTCTGAGTATCTGCTGGCGTTCCGGCAGCAGACGGAGGCTTGACGGCAGGCTTGGCAGCGTCGGCCTCAGTTGCAGTGGCGGTAGTGGCGGCAACTCCGGCGGAGGGATCGGGCGTTGCGCCTCCCTTAGGCACGACGACCCATTCACCGCTTCCGGTTCCTTGATCAGGCGCGGTGGCAGAGGCATCCTTGGAGGACTCTGTGTTGCCCATTGTGACATCCTCGCCCGTGGCAGCAGTAGCAACGGTGGAAGTCTGCGCCTCGGTCTCCTCCTGAATAGTGGGAGGGACCGGTGCGGGCGACTGCACATTCGCGTTGGCTGGCGTACCTGCGTTTGAGTTCAACGCGGACATGTGTGTTTGCGGTGTAGGGAAGTTGTTCAGAGGAGTCGAGTTGGCTGAGAACCCAGTGTGCATCTCGTCGAGTAGTCCTGCTGCCGTGCCTCCCATATCAATATCCGAATCGCCCACCATCACGCCACTGTGGTTAGAACCAGCCTGAGACGGCCGCCGTGATCCCGAGGCATTCGCATCGGCACCAGCCGCCGGGGCGGGAGGTGAGCTCGCCGGCGGCGGGACTGGTGAAGGCTCCTTGACAGGTTCAGGAGCGGGCTCCTGGAAACCGCCGTCTTGTATGCGGTGCACATTGTGGAGGACCTCAATGTGCCGGCCTAGGTTGGCCTCAACCTGAGCCACAATCTCGTCCACCTTCTTGTTGTGCTTCTGTGACCACGAGCCGGAGTTATCATCCGCATCGGTAGAGTAACCCTCCAGACGCCACAGCTCTGGTCCACGCTCCTGAACGGACTTTTTCACGTCCTTCTCCGCATCAACGAACACCGAGCTCGCCTTGAGGCTTGCCAGGTTCTTTGCATGCTCCGCCTTCATCTTCTCCATTTCAGCCTTAGTGGCATCGAGGTGCTCCTGGACCCGTTTTCTGAACTCATCAGCCAGGCCAGGCTCTAGCCGTCCAATGTATGGCTTCTGGGGCGGCTCAGTAAGTGCGTTTGCGCTCTGCGCTGAGAAGATGCCATCAGTCAAAGGTGCCAGCTCTCCCTTGAGGCCTAGTCCGAGATCAGGGGGCGCAATCTGACTGAGGCCGTAGGGCGAAGACACAATCTCCTCCATCCATTCGTGGTTTTGCTGGTACCGTGCGAAGGAAATGTCTCTAGGGGTAAGATGGTCAAAGAGATCCTTCTCGAGTTCTTCGTCGTCATGCAGAGCCTCGGCGTGAGCCAAGGCCTGTTGTTGCTGCTGGGCTTGCGCCTGCGCCTGTGCTTGTTGACGGCCACGACGTCCCTGGGGACCCGCCGGGGGATAGGCCATCTGCTGCGGTACGCGCCGCGACTGCGCTGGCGGGTTGTACATCTGAGGCCGTCCGCCATTACGCGGGAACTGGATCGAGGGCCAACTCGCGCGATCCGAAAGCATGAAGTCCTTTCGTGCGATCTGACCACATTTCTGGAGGTGGTTGCGGGTCCCCATGATGTGCTGGGTCTCTTGTGACACGGGGATCAGGTTGACAGGGACGCGGTCGGAAGGGTCAGAAGGGCCATAGTGAACGATCCAGAGACTGATGTCTGGCTGGGGTGCGTTCATCACTCCGGTCTGCGAGGGTACGAGGCGGAATCTGCGACGAGCGTGCATGGCGACCTGTTCGCCAGGAATGAATGCCGACTTGACAAAGTGGATTTCGAGAGACTGATGATAAAGTCAGATTATTCCTTCAACAATGCGACAAGATGCCTACCAATCCATTTCCAACATCCTGTCTGTGGTACTGCTCGGGTCCACAGATCATTCCGTCGCTGGCGAAGTTGGTTCCGAGCCTTTTGAGAGGTTGCCATGTAAGGTAGACCTGGCCGTCGCGGGGTCGATCGAGGTAGGTCCAGAAGAAGGGAGCTTTGTCTTTCGCGACTTGGGGCGCCGCCATTAACCATTTCGTTACTTGGTTCAGGTCGACGCGTGCCTGGTCGGCATAGTGGTTGGCGGAGATGAGATGAGCATGGCTCAGCTAAAAGATGGTTAGCGATGAGTTGATTTTTTTTTTTCCGATACCGAATATAATGCTGGCTGCGGTGACCTACCAGCTCCTGATCGATACCGTCGCTTGGGTCTTGCGCCATGGTGGATCGCGACGTGGGATTTTCGATGCGATGGGGTTGGGGCGGATGCTGATGCACAGCTTTTGTCGCGCAGAGCAAGCGATTGTCTCTTCAGGCCGTGATTGTCTGTGAGGAGGGCAGTCGACAAAGAAGTGGGAAGGATCGAGATGGCGCGACAATTGGGGAAGCTACGGTTGGTTGATGGATTGATTGACTTGCAGCTTGGTTCGCGGTCCCCAAATTTGTCGCGACGAGGCTGCGGCACCACAAGTGACCCTTGTAGACAGTTGGCCAATCATAGAGGTACTAGTTAGGGTCCGTGCATGTGGGTACAATTCTTCGGGTGCCGTAAATTCAGCCTCCGAACACACTGTGCAAGCAGATCCGTGTTCGCTACCAGTCCCGACCTTCAGCCGGTTCTTCGCCGGTAAATGAGAAGTCAAGCGTTTGTCAAATTCCTTTCGCATCGCAAGATACTCCTAGAAGGTAAAATGTGGAAGGACTTGGCGTATAGTCAAGGTACGACACGTTGCCACACATTCTTGCTCATGAGACTTGCATCATGACACACTGTGTTAATGTGTGCGTTTCAACTTTTCTCTAGATAGTCGTCCGCCTATGGTCATAGCTAAGACAAGCTTCTACTCAACAGCTTCACCTCATAATATTCGGCATAGCTCACGTTGGAAAGTTTGGGAATGAGAAGTGGTGGAACTTTTGGTTTCAATTACGTGTAATCATTTCATTTCATTCTCCTGGCATCCTTATACCAGTTCTTATAGTGAGCCCTCTATTTAACCTATCCAGAAAACCATTAAGCGTTGTATGTAGAAGCAGAGACGTTACCTCCGCGGCCGGTCCAGTTGACGTGGTGGTACTGGCCAGCGGGGTACTTGTCGTTAGCTGACTCGGGCTTGACGAGGAAGGTGTGGGCACCTGCAGAAACGTTATGATTAGCAAAATGTCAAAGTAAGTTGAGGTATCAAAGAGCTTACCGAAGTAGTCGCGCTGAGCCTGGAGGAGGTTGGCGGGGAGGTCCTTGGTGCGGTAACCGTCGAACCAAGACAGAGCGGTGGAGAAGGCCGGGGTCGGGATACCGAGGAGGGCGGCCTTGGCGACGACGTCTCTCCAGCCAGGCTGAGCAGTGTGGATGGCCTTGTTAAAGAAGTCGTCGAAGAGAAGGTTCTCGAGGTCGGGGTTGCTGCGGAAAGCGTTGGTGATGTCCTTGAGGAAGACGGAGCGGATAATGCAGCCACCGCGCCACATGAGGGCGATGGAGGGCTTGTTAAGCTTCCAGCCGTACTCCTTGGCGGCCTCGTTCATCAATTGGAAACCCTGAGCGTAGGAGACGATCTTGGAAGCGTACAGAGCCTGCTCGAGGTCGTCGATGAACTGCTCCTTGTTGCCCTCGAACTTGTTGGTGCGGCCAACGTACTGAAGCTTGCTGGAAGCCTTAACACGCTCCTCCTTGATGGAGGACAGGCAGCGGGCAAGGACAGCCTCGGCGATGAGGGTGACGGGCATACCGAGGTCAAGGGCGTTGATAGCGGTCCACTTGCCGGTACCCTTCTGACCAGCCTGGTCGAGGATCTTCTCGACGAGGGGAGTTCCATCGTCATCGTTGTAGTAGAGGATGTCACGGGTAATCTCGATCAGGAAAGAATCCAAGACGCCCTTGTTCCACTTGGCGAAGACATCACCAATCTCCTTGCAGGAGAGGCCGAGACCGCGCTTGAGGATATCGTAGGCCTGCATGTGGTGTTAGCTATCATCATATAGCTAAGAGGAGCTCGGGTGGGGCTGCATACCTCGCAGATAAGCTGCATGTCACCGTACTCAATACCGTTGTGGACCATCTTGACGTAGTGACCGGCGCCCTCATCACCGACCCAGTCGCAGCAGGGCTCGTTGTCGCTCTTAGCGGAGATGCTCTGGAAAAGGTCCTTGATGTGGGGCCAGGCCTCCTCGTTACCACCGGGCATCATAGAGGGACCGTAGCGGGCACCCTCCTCACCACCAGAGACACCGGAGCCGACAAAGCGGATGCCCTTGGAAGCGCAGTACTTGGTGCGGCGGTTGGAGTCGGGGAAGTGAGAGTTACCACCGTCAATGATGATGTCACCCTTCTCAAGGAGGGGGATGAGGGTGTCAATGTAGTCGTCGACGGCCTTACCGGCCTGGACGAGAAGCATGACTCGCTTGGGGCTCTTAAGTTTTGAAACGAACTCCTCCAGAGAGTGAGCGCCCACGATGGACTTGCCCTTGGCCTCGTTGGCCAGGAATCGGTCGACCTTGGAGACGGTACGGTTGAAGGCGGCAACGGTGAAACCGTGGTCTGGAAAAGGATATTAGCCAACTGAATTTGGTTATGGAATGTGATTGTCGGAATTACCGGCGGCGTTGAGGATAATGCTATGAGAGAGTTAGTGAATCAATTCATACACATGGAAAGCTGGTAGAACTTACTTTTGACCCATAACGGCCAGGCCGATGAGGCCCATATCAGCGCTGTGACGATGGTCAGCTTGAGTATTCACTAGTCGGACGTTGCTTATTCAGATGTGAGGAGAAGGAGAGCGGAGCGGGACCTCGGAGCAGGCACAACGCCTGCCACAAGGTTGGCAAGACGAGCGCTGCATTACGAGCATGAGTATGTTATTGCGTCGAGAAAGGAGAAGGGCGATGACTTGAGGCCAATGTTACATGTGCATTGGCACCTCACGAGACCGCACCGGCACCGAAGCCATCACGACGGACGTCGACATGCGGGAAATTCGCAGCCGTGGTCATTGTCGTGAGGCATCGGAGGTCGGGAGCGGGGTGGTGGGGTAATTTTTCTTTTGGCTTGAGAGCGAAGAGGGGTTTAGAGAGCAGAGCGAGGTATTACTTACACAGGTCCAGACATGATGAATGATGTGTCGGTGGTTTAGGTGGGGGGTGTTGTTTGATGGAGGAGAGGTTCAGACGCGCGAATCTTTGATGATATGCGGGAGCGTCGAGTTATTTATCTCTAGGGAATGTGTCAAGAAGGAGACGAGAAGCTGGAGCTTTCGTCAACCCGGACGAAGTTTGTAGGGGGAGGGTCGACGGAGGGGTAGGAGGGGAGGGGGGGTGGTTTGTCTTAGTGCAGGGGCCACCCATGACAAGCGCAGATGTGCACACTCCCACTCCTCCAAGTTCCCAATGGAAGTCGACAAGTACCTCCCGGTGCTTTCGCAGCCTGGCCTTCTACCTACCTATGGTACGGATACAACTTTTTTCTCTTTTCCATCGCTTCCCATTCTTTCTTTGGGGGTGGGATATCTCTCAAAGACTGGGCAGAAAAGCGGGACTAGACGGCTTGTTCGACCATCGACAGGGCTGCTTTGCTGCTTTGACTTGGCTGGTCAGTGGTCACCCCTCCTGGACTCTCCTGGACTAACTCGAGATGATTGGCTTTTTCCTGTTGGCGGGACGAGCTTACTCATGGACAAAGAGGTACATACGCAGTATGTAAGTACCTTACTCTAGGCTGCTTGTATCTTCCATGCTTTGGCAATCCAATCCCACTTCCACTTCCAGCACTTCCGTACGGATTACGGAGTATGTACACGCATACAGAAAGAAGAGGGACACATACATCACCGCTCAGGACGTGGAGCTCCATTCAGAGGACCAGACCCTCCTCCAGCCAGCTCCAATTGGACGGCCTGTCATGGAGGGGCACTTATGACGATGCTCTCCTCTGTCACCTCGTCTTTCCCGCGTTTCTCTGCCATCCGCCATTCTTGTTGTTGAGCAAATAAATTAAAAGCTTTTTTTCTCGTTTGGCTGTGTCTGGCAAAGCAGATTGACACCAAACACCACCTATGCCAACCGGGTTGACTTATGCTCTCAGAGAGCATGAAATGTACCCGACCTTCTCTCCACTGCGACTCCGATGTACCACGGTTACCGCATTGTGCAAGAGAACCGGCCCGCGCGGCGGAGGGCGGCCCAGCAACGACCATTATGCCTGCTCCATGCCGGTGGTGTTTTAGTCAAGCAGCGCGCCAGCCTGACGAAGCCCGTCGTGCAAAAAGGCGCTTCTGGATCCGTCCTGTTGTGGTCCGATTCGGCGATAGGCACCCGTTCCCATTGGCCGTCGCGAGCATGTCTCACACTCTGCGTGTTCCAGGGGAGGGATTTGCGACTCCGGTATTCAAACTCGATGCGTCAGACCCTGACGTTTCGCAACCCACGGCCGCGGAGGAACACTCTACGCTCGGTCTAACAGGCCGCGGGGGCTCTGCCTAATCACCAATGCTAATCTTGCGCGACGCACTGCAGCGTTGCGGCCTGTCTGCTGGCGGCATATAATATTATTGCCCTCCCAACGGAGCTCCGGTACTCGCTCGCTCGTTCGCTTCGTATGCTCCTGGACCGTCTTGGGTGGTAGGGGATGAGGGACCACAAGGAATTTGATTTGTCTGGTCCATCGTTGTCTTGCCTATGGCCATGCCCCAGACGTCCCTCGACTTTGAGTTGAGAGCCGCCCTGCACGTGCAGCAACTGTCTCTCGCTCCGGACTGCATTGGAGGAAATTCCGTTTCTTCAGCATAGAAGAGACCCCCATGCTCCCGGGCCGTTCCAGCAAAGCTTCGAGAACGTCCAAACCCTGGAAGGGCCTGCAGTGCAGAGAGATATTGGGACGTCGCGTTGTCGCTATTCATCCATGAGCGCGCGCTCGGCACTCCGCCTTCAGTCGGAGAGAACGCCGTGAAAGATGCAGCCTTACCACCACCACTACCAACCACCAAGACGATTGCGATTATAATCAGGCATTGGATGGGGAAAAGGCAGCGGCCGATGCGCATGCGCCTCGCGTTTCCTATCCCTGGACAGCGGATAGCGGGCCTTGCTCGATATACGCGACAAATCACGATGCGCTTCCAATGGTGTGCAGAGGAAGTCGGCCCCAACCAAACCGAAGCTGGCCGTAATGAACCCCTCCAATTCCTCCAGTTGGACTGCTTGGCCGAAGCAGCCTCAATCTATTGGGTTCGTTGAGACCCACGCCCTCAGCAGAAGGGACAGAAAATATCGCACCTCCATCTCCCAAGGTACCTCAAGGTGTGGATGGAGGCAGCGTAGCCGCAGCGCGACCGCCGACGGTGAATCCGTCCCTCGCTGCTCACAAATCGAGAAATATGGTCCTCACAAAGGGAAAACGAGGGGCAACCTCAGTGGGGGTTACCGCCGCCTTCGGGCCTTGGATCGGTCGCACGACCCGGAGTCGTCGGTTGAGAACTCCGCTAATGCTCCGCTTAGAATCCACGCGCATTACTGATTGGCATGGCCCTGACCGAGGGAAAACGCAGCGTCGTGTCGGAGGGCGACGGAGGCCATGATGTCAGTCAGCAAACACCGATAGCTGCACTACTGATTATCCGTTATGTCCGTCTGAAGATGTCCGACGGATAAAATGCAGCTGATGCAGGAACAGCATGGTTAAATGGGATGGTGACAATCCCAGCCGAACGGAGCGTGAGTCTGGCCAGCACGGCCGGTGCCAAATAATCAAATGGCTCAAGACGGAACTGGAATTCCTGTTTTCCGAGTTTAGACTTCTCTGGGCGTTTAATCGGCGGCATGGGCTGCGTTGTGAACCTCGGGATTCGAGAAGCAACGATTTAGGTGCGCGGGATGCAATGAGCGGCAGTTGGTGTCCACCCTCCTGGAAGGTTGAAGAATGGACACTTTCTTGTCCGAGCTTCTTCCACGCACAAGCCACAATTGGCACATGACAGATTGAACTTAGCCACCAGCCACATTGGCCACACACCATCGCCGAGGCTGAGACGACATCGTCACAATTTCTCCGAATACATCACCAGCAAACCCATCTCTGCATTTGCGACAGCCCCGACAACAGCACGCCCACCGTCGGCTATAGCAAACAGCAAAGGAGATTTGACTTCTTTGAGCAGGAACATCCCGGGCTCAGAGGTACGTTACCACAAAAAAGCTCAAGCAAAGCCACACGCGCCTTGCTTGCACAAAAAAAATCGTATCATACCCGCAGTTCATTCATCATGGCCTACCCGCCCCCTCCAGGTATCTCAAGCGGCCCCTCTACCGGCAATCCACCTTCTCATCCCTCCCTGCCCGCGAGGCCCCCTCCGAGCAAGTCATCCGGAGGCTTCAAGCCCGCCTTCAAACCCGCCTACGGAGCTGCAGCCTCATCCGCGCCTACCTCCTACTCGAGCGCACCGACCTATGCCAGCGCGCCCGCCGCCCATTATGGCTCCTCCTACGCATCGTACTCGCAACAACCGTCGCCGTCACCCTCGGTAGGCGGCGCCGGCCGCTATGGAGCACCAATGCCCGCATACGATTCATACACACAACCCGGCGCCGGCTCTCGTTACGGCCAGGCCTCGAGCTACAATGCGCCGCCTTCAACCTACGGCGCAGCGCCGCAGATTCGCAACCCGTTCCCGATTCCCGGCACCGGCGCCCCTACCGCCGGCGCATCCGCCGCCTCGGCCTCCGACTACGACCCGGACATGGCGATGCAGATAGCACAGTGGCAGAGCGCATACAGCTCGAACGGCACTAAGGACCCCAGCGGTAAAGATCCGGTCGTCCCCAGCGGTCGTGGGGGCTTCCCCGGAACAGGCAGCAATGTCGCGACCCCTCCCATCATCGACCCCGCAGCCGCGGCCGCAGCGGCAGCAGCAGCGAACCAACCCCCCGAGCGCAAGAAGACCGTCGTCCGCGAGGGTGGCGGCAAGAAGTGGACCGACGACACCCTCGCCGAGTGGGACCCGAGTCACCTGCGCCTGTTTGTCGGTAACCTCGCCGGCGAAGTCACAGATGAGTCTCTCCTCAAGGCCTTTTCGCGATGGCAGTCGGTGCAGAAGGCGCGCGTGATCCGCGACAAGCGCACCGCCAAGTCCAAGGGGTACGGCTTCGTCTCCTTCAGCGACGCCGACGACTTTTTCCAGGCCGCCAAGGAGATGAATGGCAAGTACATCCAGAGTCATCCCGTTACCGTGCGCAAGGCGAACACGGAGATCAAGATCACCAACGTCAAGGGCAAGGACCACCGCAACAACCGCAACAACAAGAATAAGAAGCACTCTGGCAACGGCGGTGGCGGCGGTGGTGGCGGAGGAAACAAGAATGCAGACGGTACTGGGTATGAACCCCACCTCGGCCCTGTGCATAGTCACGGTGTCACCAAGCCTGGACAGAAGACCAAGAACGGTCTCAAGTTGCTTGGATGAATGTTTCTTGGTTTAAGAATAATCTCTTCGGCTAGACTGGCGTTCTGGAGTTGGAGGTCACCCATACCCATCATAATCAAAGAATTACATCAATAGAAGAAGCACTTTCTCAGTCAGACTTTGCAGTGAATATGCCAATTGTATGATGTGATGAACCGCTACTCCTCGCAGGACCCTCTCTTACGGGACCCTCTCTCGTACCGTGCTGTGCTACTATTTGCCATACAGCCTGACGCGGCGAGAAAGATGTGAAGCCAGACAGTGCCCTTAAGAATTCCCAAGCAATTCTCTAGACCCCCATATCTCGATTTATCCTCCTTTCAACGCCTGACAGCATAGCAGTTGGTAACACAACAAAAGTACATGAGATGAGATGACATGACATGACCCTCATCCAAAGTCAAATCCTTACTTCATCCAACCCGGTAAACCTCGCGAATGAAAACCAGACCGAAAATCACCGCTGGAAACCGGTAACACGATCCAGATTGAAAGCGGCGCTGATGAGGGCCAGATGACTGAAAGCCTGGGGCGTGTTGCCGAGCTGCTCGCCGCTGCGTGCAATCTCCTCGGAGAACATGGAGAGGTGGTTGGAGAAGCTGAGCATGTTCTCGAATAGGTTGACGGCGCGGACGAGGTATTTGGGCTCGTAGACGGAGGCACGCGTCATTGCTTCGACGAGCCAAAAGGTGCACATACTGAAGGCGCCTTCTCTTCCGCCAACGCCTGGGAAAAGCGAGATCAGCTCAGACATGCACATGAAAGTAGAAGGTAATCAGGGGGGTGCACAGGGGGCCCTTACCATCGTCTGATAGCTCGGTATCGTAACGGGAGACGAGACCTGTGCTGGTAAGGCCGCCCTTCTCGGGTGGCATGAGGATGCGGTCCATTGTGTTTAGGAAGCGCGGGTCGTTGGGGGCGATGAAGAAGACGAGCGGGGCGATGAGGATGGAGGAGTCGAGCATGGTGTTGTTCTCGTAGCTCTGGACGAAACACTTCATCTCCTTGTTGTAACCTGTTGTCCCGCCGGTGCGGTGGTTGTCAGTGGTTTCGTCTCTACTTTCAGTCGGCTTTTACGCATGGTAGGTGGTGTGTATACGCCGGGGAATCAACGAGGAGTAGAGGGCGGCGAAAGGTTGGGTAGAACAAAATAGAGGGGGCAAGAAAAACGTACCCTTCTCCATGATCTCCTCCATTAGGTTATCGCGGGCCTCGAGCCATTTGCTGCGGTTGGGACAGGGGAAGTTGCGTTTGTCTGCGAGCCGGAGGCCGCGGTCGAAGGCGACCCAGAGCATGACTTTTGAGTAGGTGAAGTTTTGCTTCTTGTTGCGGACCTCCCAGATGGACATGTCGGGTTCTACTCAAAATCAATACTCATGCCCCCTTCATCAGTAGGAAAGAAGTTGACAACTTACGATCCGTCAAAGTCAGGACAAAGTCTATGCGGCAAGTCAGCTCCAGTGTCCAGCTGAAGAAAGAAAGCATCATCAACGTCCAAAGATACAACACATACCCAGCATCTCCCTTACAGAACACCACTGATCCCAGCTGATAGGCTTCCCGTACTTGTTATACAGATAAATACCATCCATGAGCTCGCCGTAGATATCAAACTGCTGATGGAACGCCGCGCCGTTGCCGATCCGCACGGGCTTGCTGCCGCGGTAGCCCTCGAGGTGGTCAAGCTCCATCTCGGGGATCTCGGTCTCGCCACGGATGGTGAACATGATGGGCAGCTCCCCGCTGGGCCCGCGCGACTTGACGAAGCGCTCGCTGATGAAGTCCATGTAGGCGTCTGCCTCGGCGGAGAAGCCCAGGCGGAGGAGGATGTAGATTGTGAAGCTTGAGTCGCGGACCCAGCAGAAGCGGTAGTCCCAGTTTCTATTGTGAATTAGTGAGCCTTTTCTAATGAATAAGGAGAAGGAGGAGGGTGGGCAACAAGGGAGGAAGCGAAATGGAATCATGGAAAGGCCTCACCGAACACCACCAATATCCTCAGGAATAGAAAACGTCGGCGCAGCCACGATGGCGCCGGTAGGCTCATACGTCAGCATCTTGAGCAGCATCAGGCTCCGATTGACGACCTCGCGCCACCGGCCCTTGTACTTGCTCTTGGAGATCCAGTTATACCAAAACGACTGCGTGTCGTGCTGCTGTCCGTCGAGCACCGCCGTCGTGACGTTCTCCGTGACGTGGTCCGGCTTGTCGTTCCGGAGAACAAACGAGACGGCCTGGCCCTCTGTGATTTCCAGGTGCGCGACGACGCCCTCGCCTAGCATGCCGTCGCGCTTCTCCTTTCTGAAGGTGATGGAGGGTGCCGGCGCCGGCGCCGCCGGGGCTGTCGGTGCGTCCGCCTCGGACTCGGGGACGACGTCGTCGATGGTGACGTCGAGCTGCATCTTGTAGTGCTCGCTGTGAAAGGTGACGGCCTTGCTTGGGCTGTTCGCCGTGTGAGTCGGCTCGATGATGGTGGTGACGTGGGACTCGCTGGCGTATTGGAAGGCCGGGAAGATCTCAATGTCTGGGAATGTCAGCTTAGCATTGACTGAACCTTGATGAAAATTAGACAAGTAGCATAACCCACCAAGCTGGAGACGGCCGCGGATACACTCGACTCGACGGACGAGCCACTTCTTCAGCTCCTCCTGGATCTTGGTCGTCTCACGGAACGCGCCTTGGCGAGTGCTCTTCGATATGACCGTCGCGGTCTTGGGGCGCGGGAAAAAGTCCACGACGTCGACGACACCGTCATCGTGGATGTATCTGGTTTGCAAGATATTGGAGGATGGTAGGTATTGTTGCCTTTTGGAAACTGGTCAGGGGCATCACGACGGGGATGAGTACTCAGATTGCTCACTTGGTTGTACACAGCTTGGACGGCGGAGGACAGATGCTGAAGAAGCCGCCCTTTTCCTGGTCTAGTAACCGACAGAAGATACTGGGTGAATCGAAGTCCGGCCTGGGGAATGGTCTGTCAGATGTCAAGTTACATGGGTGAGATGTGAGTGGCAGAGTCTCATTGAAGCAGCAGTCGAGCCCATGAGGGCCGGATATTCCGGACGATAGGCCCTTCGACCGCTTTGATCTCAATGTTTTTTGGTCCCAAGATCTCGATACGTTGGGGTAATCCTCATGTAGCATCTTACATCGCCCTCCATTGCATCGGCTACTATGGGAAGAGATGGGGAGAGAGCATTGGGGGGTTCACCACTCGGCCGAGTGTAACGTCGGGCCGGGGGAAATGTGTAAGTAGCATAAGGACAAGTGAGAACGAAAACCGATCTCATACCAGCACATAAAATCAACTGAACCGTTCGTTCCCACAAGCGCGCATGTATGCATGTTGCCAATCATGCCATAGTCCTCGATCGGCAGGTACCCGGCGCGGCTGCCGGCGACATGTCTCGTCGAGCACTGTTGAGCCATGACGTCGTTTCCCGGATCGTTGGAGAAGGGCTTTTGGTGAGATGCCAAAGAGTAATCAAATATTGCCGTAGATTATATGCGTTAAATGAGATCTCCTTGAGCGAAAGTAATATGATAGGGATATTCAATCAAATAACAGAGTATATTCAGTATAATGGCTTCTGCTGAACTGTCGTGGAACCAACTGAATGTAAGCTATGAAGTCAAGATTGAGGTCTAAGCAATGGGGACAAACCCCGGCGATTACTGAGAGAACGGGTAGAGCGGAAGCCACGATCTGCGGCTACTCGACTGTGGCTGCGGGGAGAAGTCAACAAAGCACATGTCAGCGGACGCTTTTGTCATAGTCGTCTCTCGATGATAATCGCCGACTAACACCTAGCGCTCAAGTTCTCTCGACTTGCAGCCGACTTGCAGCCGACGTGCTGCAACATGAACAGAAACGGATGCGCCGCTCGCTGCCGCTGCGAGACTACATACCACCAAATCCACAGAGCACCAACTACAGCAGCTCTCAGATAAGAGGCTATAATTCGGATGAAAAGCTGTGTTGTTCTTCCCAAGGCAGACAGCTTCCGAGAGAGAGGGGGCGTGACTTGGACCCAAAGTGCGTGATGTCAAGCACCCGAAAGTCTGATGACGCTGCTCGATATCGCATCGCGCCGCTAGTGAGAACCCACTTTGGGAGCTCAGCTCAGCTCATATGGATACCTAATGAAGTTGAGCTGCCAGATCGGCAAAACCCCAGGCCTAGACCCAGGCACAACACGCGCAGCAGCTACCCTGTTGGAGCTTAGACAATGTGACAAAAATCAAATAGAACCCAATACTAGAAGATACTCTCATGAAAAAGAATACGGGCTATGGTGGGGATTCTCTGAAGCTATTCTGCCCAAGAACCCACCACTCATCTGAATGGAGAGATCGATCGCAGGGACTCGAACATCGTACGCGGGGGACGATCTACTCCGTACGGTGTTTGAATGACGGTGGCTGACATCATGGAAAAAGGGTCTGGACCTATTTCCTCCCTTGGAACGTCTAGCTCGCTCGCCCAGAAGCTCCCATCCAAACGTCCTACATGAGAGGTGAGACAGTTACGCGCTGGGGAACGGAAAAAGGGAAAGAAACAAATCAACGGCGTAGGGGCAGCGGCGGGTAGTTAATCAGGTAGGTAATCAGGAAGGCTGAACGAGGCGGGTAAGGTGTCTCACTCAACCGCCTTGTGTTTTCACTCCTTACATTTCTTTTTTGAGCCTTTGGCGCCGGGTTGATTTCTCACGCATAAACAGCACGTCTGGGCTGGTTGGCTGGGTAAGACAAGACATTCAACGGCCTCGAAAGCTAAGGAAGCTTCACGGCTGTGGGACCTGTGGTAGCTTGTGACGCCGTCTTGTTTCTTTTTCCTCCGCGTCTGCGGTCTGCGGGGGAAGAAAGCAATAGGGAGACTTGTGTGGGAGGTTGGCGCGGTGGAAGGTACACTGTTGCATCTGTCAGTCGATAGTTCCGATTCGGACTCGGACTCTCTCCTGCCCAGCCGTCTGTGAGCTTCGATGCCTCTTTTGGGATGAATTCAACCGTACGGATATTAGGTCCATGCGCGAGTAAGAGCGTGCGTATAAGGCGACGGGAGAGCTGGGGTAAACAACAACCTCCCTGTGACCGGATACGGACCGAGGTCAACAAGTATGTTTTTGCTGTTACCATTGTACGTATAGCTGCGAGGCAAAAGGTCTCAGAAAGAAACGGGCCCGGAAACGAAAACAATGCGATCGGTGTTTAGGATGAGGTTGATCACTTAATCAGCAGCATCGAGACCGAGATGGATGGGTGGCTAACAGAATGATTCAAACAACTCGGATGCTGGACGGGCTTTTCTTTTACTCGGCAGCGGGTCGCGGCGCAAGCCCGAGGATCCGGGTGCGGAACCATGGTGAAATCTGGCTGGGGGTTGAGAAAGTCACGGGCTGGTGTGTGAGACTGAGTTCAGTGTGAGACTCTCACTCAAAGGTGGGTTGGACCGCTCTGGGCAGTTGGTCACCCGAGCACCTTCATCGCGAGGTTGGAATAGTCCCGACCACTAGACTCCTGTGCCTAGGGAGGTAGGTAGTTAGACTGTACGAGCTCTACCGACGACGACGACGGTGGACACCTTACCACATGGCTAGCAACATAACCGAGAAACTTGTGCTGCCCACGATGAATGACCTCCCTGCAGCTCGACTACTGTACGGAACCGCGGTGAGGGGCGGAGAGGAGGAGAGGGGGTTGTGGTAAGGTTGCGTCGAACAGGGCCCCCAATAAGTGGATGAGAGATCCTGTGACTCTGGATGTGAGAGACGGCTGGGCCAAGCTTAAATGGGAGGTTGCATTTCCGGAGGTGTTGGGTTTGTGTGTGTCGGATAGCTCTTTAGTAGGACGAACGGGTCCATTTACCGCCCGTGAAACTTGAAGCATCACATCTTCGGACGACCCTCAGTTACTGACGATCTGGGCCACTCTTGCGTTATGCTATTGCTTTACTTCTCGGTCTGTGACCTCACCTAACACCGGTATCTTACCGTGTAGGGGAGGTTGATGGGGGGATCAGTACGGATAAAGGGGCTAACACATTGCAGCTAACTTCGCGTACCTCGAGGTAATCTCAGATACTTTAGTAGAAGGACACACTAGTGACGGGCCGCGGGAAAGCATAAAAGACAAACGAACATTGTCCAGCTGAAGACGGGGACCACGAACGAAGAAGCATGGTGACTCAAAAAACACGCGTATTGCTACTACCTCATTCGTCCCGGGTGGTGACCGTGGTGAGTCTTGGGCGAGGAAATCTCTCATAGTAGCGGTGCTATTGCAGGCAGACCCAATTCTTCCTTCCGTCAGTTCTTCCAGGCCCATTGATCCTCGTCCAGCCCGAGGTGGGATGCACTGTTTTGTTGACAGTTGTTCTCGCCAGGCCGCTCTGCATAGGATTCCCACCTAGAAGTCGCCTCCTTCTCCTCGCGTGCCTTGGTGAGTGTCCTTCTGAGCTGGCATGTCACAGGGAGCATCAGGAAAGGTCATCCCTGATGACGACCCTGACCGCCGTGGGAGAAAGCCTGGAAGCGAAGTCCAGTTGTGCCAGTGCTGCAGCAAAAGCCCACGAGACGTATCCACCGTGAGGCGTGCCAAGGCCATTCCCACATTTCATCTTGGGAGCAGGAAGCTGGACATTTTGCAGAGATTGAAGCACCTGTCCTCAGGAGAGGTTCAGACTTTAGAGAAGTTGAGTGGAAGGCGGGTGGTAGCGGTAATTGGCGGTAAGCATAAGCCACCGAGATCATGGGCAGGGGCTGCAGGGCCAGACGGTGGACAGCGGTACGTACCTGCAGCGACTTCCAGAGGTACCCTGTTGGGTTGTGCCTGTCCCACCTCACCGCAGTCCCCGGTCCCCTTTTTCCCCTCCCAGCCCGCCTGCCCCGTCCCTCTCCTTCTCCCTAGCAGTGGACCATCTCAGAGACTCAGCGTGTCTGGTACCCACCTCGTCCGCGTGTGGGCGCCCGCGCGACACTTCCAATGTGACTGGAGAAATGATCCGCACCGCCGCCGTGGCCGTGAACCAGGATTAGGACCTTTCTCACGCGCAGTCTGTCCTCTCGCCAGCCTAACTCCAAATGTGCTTCCAAATGCACCAAACATTGCACCAAAGCACCACAAGCCCAGACCCCGACAGCAAATCAACTGCGCCCAGTTCTCTCGTCCCGACCCCATCGACCTAGGCCGATCTACCTTGCCTTTTACTGCGAAGGTATTGCGGCGCCCAGAGAGAACAACGGCCGGTAAACTGGATCTGACCTTACACACCGTACCTACGGATACACCCAAGCCTACCAGCCCCGGCAGCTTAGGTCGTGCTTGTGAATCCCGCTGTGGATTCCCAGATTAAATCATGCCCCAATCCTCCTCCTCGCCCTCCGACTCGACTTCCTCTTCACTTGTGCATGTCCTGCTGCCTCCCGACCCTAGCCAATCTCAATCTCAATCTCACTCTCAACTTCAATCTCAATCTGCCTCTGTTTCCGTCTCGGGTGCTGCCAGTGCCGTGTCATCCTCCCCCGACCCCATTGACCACAACGACGCCCTCCCCTCCTCATCCTTCTCCTCACACGACCACGACCACGACCACCACACTACTGATACCACCAACCGTCGCCTCCTGAGCCCGTCACCTCTGCTCCTCCCACCACCCACCGCACCCTCGCCTGGACACGCGATCACCACGGATAACACACCTTCGAACCCGGATGGTCCACGGCCACGAGACGTCGTTACCGCTCCTACTGCCCACGCATCGTTGCGCCAGGGCCCTTCTTCTTCCTCCCTCAACACCGCCGCTCGAGAGCACTCTCCTCCCGTCACCGCCGACGACGACGAGATCGAAATGGAGCCATTGAAAGGAACCGGTCACCGCCGGCGCCGCAGCTCGCTCATGCAAAGTGCCGGCGCCAGCAACCACCAAAGAGTCCCGTCAAGGAATCAGGGGAACATGCTGGAAGAGCCAAAGATATCAGAGGAGGACCTTGGAGCAACACCATCAGCATCCAAGAATATCGACGACGACAGCTTTTCCGACGAGGATCTCCATGATGACGAGGAGACGGGTCTGACCAAAAAGGATAAGAGGAGGAAGAAGCAAAAGAAGAGGAACAACACCCGGTTAGATCAGCGCTTCGTCCGCGGCGAAATCTCGGCCGAGGAGAAGAAGGAAGCAGATCAAAACGTCTTTAGGAAATCCGCCGTCAACGTCGCCCTGATCTTGCTCTGGTACTTTTTTTCTCTAAGCATCTCACTGGTGAGCCCATTTTCCCATACGCTCCTCTTCGTCGTTATGGTCCGCAGAATCACGAGCTGACACTCAGGCCCGCAGTATAACAAGTGGATGTTTGACGAGAACCGCCTCAACTTTGCTTTCCCTCTTTTCACGACGGCCTGCCACATGTTGGTACAGTTCGGCCTCGCATCATTAGTGCTATTCTTAATACCCTCCCTGCGCCCGTCCAATGGAGTGCGCAACTCAGATTTGGGGCGCTCGCGGCACGAATCCGAGCCCGATCGACCTCTCATGACCAAGATGTTCTATCTGACACGCATTGGGCCGTGTGGCGCCGCTACCGGTCTCGATATTGGACTCGGAAACACCTCGCTCAAGTTCATCACCCTCACGTTCTACAGTAAGTGACATGCGCCGACCAATGCTCACCACAAAGAACTAACCACTCTCCAGCCATGTGTAAATCGTCTTCCCTAGCGTTCGTTTTGATCTTCGCCTTCTTGTTCAGACTCGAGAAGCCCACATGGCGCCTTGTGGCTATCATTGCAACAATGACTGCGGGTGTCGTTTTGATGGTGTCAGGAGAAGTCGAGTTCAAAGTCAGCGGGTTCATCCTCGTCATCTCTGCGGCCTTCTTCTCAGGATTCCGATGGGGCCTGACACAAATCCTGCTCCTTCGCAACCCGGCAACGTCGAACCCCTTCTCCAGCATCTTCTTCCTGGCGCCCGTCATGTTCCTAACGTTGATCGTTATCGCCATCCCCGTCGAGGGTTTCCCCGCTCTCATCGAGGGCCTGAAGGTCCTCGTCGCCGAATGGGGCGCCGTCACAACGCCGCTGTTCCTGCTCTTCCCCGGATGCATCGCCTTCCTCATGACAGCCTCGGAATTCGCTCTGCTGCAGCGTACCTCTGTCGTGACGCTTTCCATCGCCGGTATCTTCAAGGAGGTCGTGACAATCTCCGCCGCCGCCATCGTCTTCAACGACCGCCTCACGCCCGTTAACTTTGTCGGTCTCGTCACCACCATGGGCGCCATCGTCGCGTACAACTACATCAAGATCACTCAGATGCGCGAGGACGCCCAGAAGGAGGTTCAGCGCGGCCACATGGAGGTTGCGCACGCCTCGGGCGCCTCCTCGAGCGGCAGTGATAACGACGACGCCAGCGGCGAGGAGGCGGGCCTGCTGAGAAATAGCACCGATTATGAGGACAACCTCGTCACTGCCGACGGCGATATTCTGCCTAACCCAGGACACACCGCGCACGAGTCAAGGACAGCCCAGGCCCACCGCGACAACTAGACATTCGTGTCTCATTCTGTTTCTCATTTTTATATATATCCAGACGAAAGAGAAGGGAAGAAAGAGAAAGAACCACAAACTGTGTACATTTTTGGAAGGGGCATACAAGCATATCTCGCCGGTTTTTTTGGCTAGACAAAGGGCAGGCCTAGGAGTTTTATTTTCAAAGCGAAACATATCCGGGAAAGGGTTCACCTCACCCAGGACGAAATTGGCAAAAAAAGATGGTACATAACTGTTCTTGGGGTTTTGTTTATCCCCCGTGAGGGTACAAGGAGGAGAGAGAACTCCCCTCCTGAAGGGAAGAAGAGGTGGATATACCAATTGGCGAGAGATGATTAAAGGGCTATCGTGGTAGTAGTGTAATGCCCCCTTGGAGAGGTTAGACACAGAGAGAAATCAGAAAGCGTACCGACCATACTTTCACGCCTTGACATTTTGACTTTGCATCTATCGAGTATGTTGGTGTATATGTCACCTCGTCAGATTCATGCAACATCACGCAGGTGATGGAGTGTACGCTTCAATAGCAACTCATACTTCAATATGATAACGAGCCTGAGATGAAGTAGAGAGTATCAGCCTAGAGATAAGGGCCACCTACACAATGCTTTGCCCAAAAAAGCAGACCCAGTTCCTCAGCCTGCCTATTGGCTGGAGAAGTTTGGGTGATAAATGCTGTTGCCATCCGAGTCCCGTTCCCTCCTTCACTCTCGTTCTCTCCTAAGTGAAGGGAGGGGGAACACACTCCTTCCCATATTCATGCATATCCATCCATGCCTGCCTTTCCCGCCTCCGAAACGACGAGTAAACTTTTGGTTTGGCTCTCAGGGGGGGAAATCGCCTCTCTCGCTCAAGTGCCAGACCCAAAAGAGAGAAGAAAAAAAAGTAATGATACCTTCCCCTCCCCTTATGAATAAGAACGCCGCGCTATGCCGTGAAATCACCATCCTCTTCGTCATTGTCCTTCTTCTTCTGCTTCTGCTTCGTCTTCGTGTTGGACCTGGTTCTGGTCTTGGCCTTGGCCGTAATCGTCGTCGTCTTGTTTTTGGTGACTCTGCCACCGCTAGTCTTATTGCCCCTGCCTCTACCCGCCATCGAGCCGCCTCGTCCCCGGCCTCCTCTCGGACGGACCGCGCAACCCTCGCGACCCTCGGTCTTACTCGTACTGACGCTGGCGACGCTGACAACGCTCGCCTGGCTGGCCGTGCTGCCGGTGCGATTCCGTCTCCGCATGTTTGCCCCCTATGACAAGTCCATGCTGTCGCGGTCGTCGCCCAGCCTGTCGCCCACGGAGCTCAGCCCCGAGCTCGGCGGTCTCGACTCCTCCTTGATCCGCGGCGAGGTCGCCGACGGTGCGCTGCCCGGCGGCGGGCCTTGCATCTTGGATCGCCAGGTGTGGATGCTCGGGAGGTCGCCGCCCTCGACCTGGACCTCGCCCACGTCGTTGCCCTTGCCGATGATCGTGCCGTGGTACTTGGAGTCCTCGCCCGTCTTGCTGTGCTTCTTCTTCAGGACTGTCTCATTATGTCAGTCTTGATCGCAAATCTCTCTTTCCTCTCCATTCCGTAGATTGCGGGGGACCGAGACAACGAACCGTTCAAGTAGTCGCCCAACTCCAGCTCCCCATCACCAACCGCCGCCTCGCGAATGGCCTTGTTCCGCGGTCCGGAGAACCACTTGATGAACTCGTCCACGCCTCTCGTATCCTCAACGATCTTCTCTCTCTCGCGTCCCCTCTCAGCAACCGCCGTCGGTGTTGCCATTGTCAAGTCTCCCTCGCCGTCCGGCGCAGCAGCAGCAGCAGCCGCCGCCGCCGCAGCAAGCTCTGCACCTGCCTCGCTCCTTCCTTCCTCGTCCAGCGAGTCTAGAATCTCGCCCAATATTGCGCCTCTTCCCTCGGCGAGAACATCGTCCGGGGGCACGGCACCCAACTCCTGCAGCGCCATGCGAACATCCACCATACCAGGGCCAACGTCACCCTGCGGGTCGTTGTCGCCCGCGTGCCGCGCCGTCGCCTGGCAGAGGGCGAACATGTAGCGCGCCGCGAGCTCCGTAACGGCATCGAGAACCACGGGCCGCGCGGCGTGGTAGCCTGTCGCGCGCAGGATCTGGAGGACCGCAGGGCGGAGGAGGGCGTGGAAGAGGACTGGTGGGGGTGTCATTTTTCTTCCTCCGTTTGTCGTTTCGTGTATTTGGGTCTATCCAAGTTGAATTAAGGTTGTTGCTTCTTTCCGCCCTTGGGAGTACCGTAGAGCTCAAAGATTCTGTCGAGGCCAAGAATTAAGGGTAGGAAGCGGCTCGGGAGGAAATCGCGGGTTTGCTGTGACTGGGCTCGTTCGTGGGTTTGCGATTTCGTCTGTCACCTTCGGTTCTGAGGTCGGTTCAGGAAGCTTCGCATGATGTTGTGACGCGTAATTCTCGGGTCGCAAGTCGTCGCTGGATGGATATATAGGGTAGAGGAAAGCCGTCGGTCACGTCAATCCCCATGTGCAAGTCGTTCGTTGGTTGAAGAGTGGGTGAAGAAGGTGCAAGTTCGCGAAATTTCAGCCTTGGTGAAATGGAAGGAGCTCGGACCAGCAGTGGACAGAACCTAAAGGTAACGGAAGGAGGTGAGGTGGTAGCTCCTGCAGGATGGGGAACCGCTGGGGAGAGCTTCCCCGACAGTGTGGATACTTTACCTTGTACTTGCCCTCGAGGCACTTACTACCTTATTACGAATGCTCTCGAACAACCTTCAGGGCGGCAGTCACTCACAATTGCACAGCACTCCTCTAGTACCTTATACTTGGATACCTTGCCTTGGCGACACAAGGTAGACAGACGTTCTTTATCATTTTCAAGCAGGAATGGCATTTCAACTTTTTGAGGACCGCCACGACCCACGAATGACAACATATTGCTACTTTCACCATTGCTTCTCAGACCTTACTACTCCATATTACTGCCTAATAGCCACATCCTCAGACTTGTCGAGGCCCGTGTACTTGTTGATCCAGCCCAACACCTCTCTGTGCCAGACAAGAGAGTTTTCAGGCTTCAAAACCCACTGTTCACACACGTCAGTATTCAAAGTACCCATCAAACATCGTCTGGAGCTAAGCACTTACATGGTTCTCGTCCGGGAACATCAACAACTTACTAGGCACGCCGCGCGCCTGTAGAACATTGAACATTGCGAGACCCTCGGAAATGGGGAGTCTGTAATCCAACTCGTTGTGAATGACCAGTTGCGGTGTCGACCACTGGTCGAGATGATGGGCGGGATCCCACTTCTCGTAGCCCTCTCGGTTCTCCCAAAGGGGACCGCCAAAGTCATGCAGAGGGAAGAAGAGTTCTTCCGTAGACCACTGGTTCAGCGTTGAGAATACACCGTCGTGGCAGACCAACGCCTTAAACTTTCTTCCGAGCTCATGACCCTGGGTCCAGTCTGCGAGGGATTAGCATCTATCGCTACGTCGTACACGGCTGCCCTGACTCACTGATCATGTATCCTCCGTACGAAGCACCCAAAGCAACAGCGTTACCACAATCAATGTAGGAAATGTTCTTCTCGATGTGATCGAAACACTTCACCAAGTCCACGTACGGGCGACCACCCCACTCGTTCTGGATGTTGTCGGTGTGCTGCTGTCCGTAACCGGTGCTTCCTGTCGGGTTGGGCATGACTGCGATATAACCCTGTTCCGCAAAGATGGCAGGGTTCCATCGCGTGCTCCAACTATCCATCCACGCGGCTTGAGGGCCTCCGTGAATGAGGAACGCAAGCGGGTACTTCTTGTTCTCGTCAAAGTTCGATGGCTTCACCACGAGGGCGTGAACGTCGTATCCCTCGGCTCCCTTGTACCAGAACTCGTCACACTGAGACTTGGACAGACCGAATGACTTTCCGTGCTTGGAGCTCGAGGACACAAGATCAGTCTTCTGACTGACGGGATCCAGAACGGAGTAGGCCGAATTCTCGACCCTGGATGACGTGCTGATGAAGAGCTTCTCTCCATCATCTCCCAACAGCTTCGCCTCGACGACAGAGCCCTCCTCGTAGATTGCTGCGGGAAGGTCTTTCGCCTCGTGCGGGGTCGCCGGTAGTTTCCAGAGCTTAGCTCGGCCGTGCTCTTCCGCCGATACGTACAGCTCCGAGTCGTCCTTGCTCCAGGTGATCCATTCGGGCCGCGCGTCCCAGCCGCCGGCGCCGTCGTCTGTCTGGTAGAACTCTTGTACGCTTGCCAGGTCGAAGACGTCGGGAACAAGCAGGAGCCTTGGCTTGTCAGTCTCGTACTGGTCGCTCTTCATCCGGGTGAAGGCGACCTTCTTTCCGTCCCTGGAGAAGACGGGTGCTGCCGAGTATCCACGGAGCTTGCTAGTCTTGACAATTTGAGGCAATGGCGGCTTGTCCTCGGCAAAGGTCTTCAAAGGCAGGAAGTACAGGTCTGTTTTCGTGTAAATGGCCGGGGAGATATTAGGGTCGCGCGCAACAAAGACGATGCCGTGCTTTCCAATGTCAAAATCGCCGCTGCCACCAAAGGGGGGGACTGGGGACACCAGCCGTGTGACCTCGAGGGCATTGGTCAGACCCTGACCCTCGAACTTGTACGACTTGTCGCTCTTCTTCAGGAGACCATACCAGATGGAATTCTGGTTTTCAGACACCCAGGCATCCCAGTGCCTTACAAACAGGCTTGAGTACACCTTGCCCGTTGTCAACTGTTTCTTCTCGGCTGCCGGGTTGTACATGGCACCCTCTGGGGTTGTCAATACGGCGACGGCAATGGCAACTTCATCTTCGGATAGTCGCTTGGCCTTCAGGCTCGACAAGCTGCCCTCGAAGTGGCGGATCTCGGTAACTCTGTAATGGTTAACGTCAATGAAGAGCCGACATGCTTGGTGACAGAGGCGACCTACGTTGACGGCTTCGTGACATCTCCTAGAAGAATGGTCGTAGCCCCCTTGTCACCGCTTCGCAGAATCAGAACCTCCTCGTCTGAAATCCATGTTACGTCACTGTAGGAAGATTCCTCATATAGGAGGCTTGAATGACCGCTCTCAACGTCAAGAACACGCGTTTGAGAGGTCTTGCTGTGGCTTTCGAACGAGTAGGTCGAGACCTGAGCTATGTTAGTTTGCGCTCACCGCTTCAATTGAGAAGCGCGAGATCCCATGGCAATGTAGCGACGACTGGGACTCCTCGATGTTACAGCCAACTCACAGTATAGAGCACTTTCGTGCCAGACGGGTTGGGAATGCCCGGGGACCTGCGCGGGGCAGAGAGCAGAACCTCTGGGGTAAACTTGGAGGCTTGAATCGTCATCATGAGGAGCTAGAGGACCACGCTGTGCTGGTGGTTCATGGAATAAGTTACGATTCAAAGGGAAATCAGAGGCAGACGGCACACAGAAGGCCTGGGAGAGGTGTCGTACATGTATGTCGGTCAACTTGCATTGTCAATTGCGACATGACGACGGGGGATCGACTATCCGACCTCCACTGGCATGGAAGCTCGGTTGAAGAGCCCCGCACTAGCTATGGACAGGCTAGCAACGGCTGTTAGAGACACTGGGGCCGACAAGGTTCTCAGTCCCTGCGCAGGCGCTGCACAGACTCTGGCCCCTCAGGCCCGCTGCCGCCGCCGCCCGTCGGCTCCGAAGCGATTGGTATGGTGTTGCTAACTTGCTTAGAGCTGTTCGTGGAGAAGGCAACTTGGTACCTAGCCAGTACTCTTCAGAGAAACTTCGTCAGATGACGGATTATATATCATGTATAGACACCAGCGGGGATAACCACCTGCATCTTGCTCTTTTCCTCTGATCATCAATCGCCATGATAACGACACACAAACTTCAGGCAATGACTGTGTCAAAAAGTACAAAAGCTCAAGCCCTCTCACGGGGGGCCTACGAAAAGCACCAGGTTCACTCTTCACGCACTTTTTCTCAGTTATAACGATGCTAGTGATTTTTCACGAGACGCGAACTCGTGACCCATGGGAGCGGGGCCATACAAACGAGGTCATTACCCGCCACGCCATGGGCCTTGGTGATAACATTAAACAAATATCTTTCCCATAGACGTATTGAGGCGGCGGCGGCAGCGGCGGGCGTTGAGTGAGAAGGTCGATGATGGGTGGGATGAAAGGGTGCTTGGTAGGGAGCTGCCTGGGGAAAACGACCGTTGTTTGAGATATCGCTAGCAATAGGAGAAGCTTGCAAGCCTGGAAAAGTGAGAACATTTGAGTAGAGTGTCTGTCTACTTTGTTAAATGTACTCAATATAGGTCGACTTTCAGTGTTACAGAGGTAAGTATCTTACTCCTGCTTACATATTTGTCCTCTCAACCCGTAATCCACCCTTATGTGTTCGATTATTCAATTGTCTCCCACGCGGTACTATACTGGCCCAAAGAGAGGACTTTGGAAATGCTTGGACAGAGAGGTGCTCTCAGGTTGGCAGGTGGTCTGAATGCCCAAATACGAAGATATGAGCAGATTCTCCTTCCGTCGAAGTATCAAGGGTCCAACGGCGCAAAAGTACCGAGTGGAGACGAACTTTTGCAACGTCTCGGTGCAAAAGTGCCCGCAACAGGACCTTAGCCTCGGCCAAACACATACTCTTTTGGCTAATTCGCCTCTCATCTCTACTATGTCATTAGGACAGACGAATTGGATGAAAAAAGAGCCAATGGGCCACAATGTATTGCCCAACACTTTGTGATTGGGATAAGGTTTCCTACTGGAAAGCCCTTTGGGGTATCGTGGTTCCGGAACTCCTCAACTCCCACCAACAATTTTGCCTTCAAGGCCAAGCTTTCTACACTTGTCGCCTAGGCATGAACTATATACATATAAGTCTGAAAGTAAGCGGTGCTGGGTAAGTAGCTTCCTTGGTCTCAACGTCACAATCGCAAGAGGTCCTCGAGAGCCTACGAAGATTGCAACCGCTGTGACGCAGAAAGAAGTCGCCTCAGCAATACGCGAAACAAAATTGCCTTAAACCCAGAAAAGTTTCGTAACATCATTCTGTGCCAATTCATCCAACATATGGGGATGGAGCCTGCTGTCCTCACTTGCGTCCAGCGCCAAAGTTGATGCGCTTCTTGTTCGGCGCTTGAGAGTCGTGATCGCTGTCCTCTTCGGTCTGCTTCTTATTCTTCTTGCCGGATTTCGATGCCGTCGCAGAGGTTGGCGTCGCGTGGTTCGAGCCGCCACCGTCCTTGAAGGACGTCGACAAGGGAGTCGGCGCATGCGAAGCGGGAGTTGAGCCAGGCGTCGTGGCTTCCTACCAAGTTTCACTGTCAGCTGCCGTTCCTCAAGGTAGAGTGCCTATCGGCTAAGAGGGGGGAAAGAGAGAGAGAGAGAGAGAGACGTACACTGCCAGGACGATACGACACCGAACTGCGAGAAAAAACACGGTTCTGCTCCGTGGCGCCAGCCTTGCGCCGCTGGGCGGCCGCGCCGGAGCCCTTGATGTAGTTGTCGAAGCCGGCAATGATGTTACCGTTTGGCGTGCTGTCGAGGTAGGCCGTCTCCTTTTGCTCAATGTCGGCCTCGATGGTGGCAAGCTTCCTAGCTATCACTGCTCTCTTATCCAGCATCTGGCGCAGGCGGACTTGTTCCTCTCTGTACATTTGCATTGTCGGAGCCGGCCCTTGCGCCGTGTTGGCGGCATTCGCTTGGTTCTCGCCCATGATTTTTTCGTTCGTCAAAGGTGGGGGTGTGTGTGTGGTTATTCTTTGCGCGGAAGCGTGTGTGGGTTTCGGATTGTGTGATTTGACTCGATGCGGCGCGGTTGAGTCGAGGCTGAATTTGGTCGCAACAGGGGAGGATTGAATGATTGATTTGTCGCGGTCGCCGAGCTTCAACGGGCTGAGCAGCCGACCACTTTGACGCTGATGGTCACCAGGCCAGGCACACAATCTCATTGGTCCATGTGCTTTGGGCTGAGTGGAGACCGGGGAATTGCTTAGTCAAGCAGCCAAGGGCTGCAGTTGACAAGGAAGGGGCTTTGAACAGGGCAGTTCATCGGACTCCAAATCCTTCGCTTCAACATCTCACTCAGCGCCCATTTTCACAAGAGTTCAATGATTCCCTGTTGCCATTATGTGCATTTTCCTCCACAATCAAACGTCTTGAACACGGACAATGACTCCACAGCGTCTTTGTCATGCTCTCTGCCAAAATTAACCTTGATTCCTGGTATATCTCAAGGCCGCCAGTACACGCAGTATACATACTACAGTAACACACCCCAGTTCTTAGTAAGGCTGGCCGCCCGAGGCGCATGAACCAAGACGGATCATCATCTCTCGCGCCAGTTTATCTGCAACAGTGCAGAGAACACGAGGGCCTTTCTGGGACTGCCCCTGACTCTTGCTACGAAAGACAGGATGACAGCAAGTCTTGCCGCCCGAGAAGCAAAAAGTCTGCGATGCTATGTGGGTTTCGAAATGCGTGCAAGCTGCCGCTGCCACTTGCCTTCGCCAGTCCGTCCTTTTTGCCAAATTCACCCCACAAGACTTACACAACAGATGATGGGAGAGGGAAAACATACACCAGCCAACCAGCCAGCCTCCTTCAGGCATTTCACTCTGCCGCCCTTTCGGCAGCAACGGCATCACCCAATTGCCCCTCCAAATTCCCCCCCGAGCTGGGGTGGGAGGGAGGCAACATCATGAAGCTCCGCACCATCAGCCGCAGCCCCTCAGCCAATCACTACCGCGCAGCTGCATCCTTTTGACATGTCGACGGGGGTAGGCTTGGCCCCTGTTTCGTTTCACCACGGCCACCTCGCAGAGGCCTCGCCGAAGATCTCTGGCTAACGAGCACGCTGCATATCCCAAGAACCATCCCATCCATCCCTTCTTTGACCCCTATCCTGGGAAACCCCCCTCACAAACCTGTTCAAAGACTGTACTTCTTTAGATTTCTTTTCTGCCGAATATGCGGACAGCGGCAATGATTCTGAATAGGGTCACCCATGTGGAGAGGACAGCTGCAAATCTTACTGGCGCAAGCGCGCGGAGGCGACGGGAAGATCACCTCTCTTCTACACTAGACCTCCACCAAGGGAATGGAACTCCTCAAGGGAACTCCGAACGGAGCGAGGCACTGGCTCTCGTTCCTGCATTTTCGTACTAAGAAGAAGTCTGTCTACACGGCACGCGCGCATGACCACCTCACCTCACCTCACCTCAGGGCTTTAGTGAGCCGCGTCAAAAGATACTGTGCCCAGGGGCGGGACTGTTCAAAACCCACAGATCCCAGCCCGGTTCATTTGATCCTTTGGTTCCTTTCCCGGGGGTTCCCAAAAAAAGACAAACACCTCGCTCTTCCTTGCGTCTTCTCGTCTTCTCTCTCTCTGTCTCTCGTCAGTCCTTCGCTTCTTCCTTCTGATCTGACTGTGTCACTCACTCTGCCACCATACAATCGTTCCCTCACCTGCTGCGGCTCTGTTACCTGCACTCTGTTCTTTGTTTCGTTCTTAAACCTTTCTCTTATAACGAGTGTAACCTTTCGCTTCTTATATCACGGTTCACGATCAGCATCATCGCCATCCAACGCTTTCTCTTCTTGACCTCGCACAAGATCCATCCTCCTCTTATACCACTTACAGCCCACCTCACACCAACACCATCACATCACAACACCAACAACACCACATCCACAACCCACACAAAATGCTCCTCACAACCCTCCTCCCCCTCTCCCTCCTCCTCGCCTCCTCCCTCGCCAAACCGATAACCTTAACCCGCCGCGCCAACGAAGACGCCCCCCTCAACGCAACATCCATCATCGCCACAACAGCCCCCAAATCAACCTCCTGCGAAGGCGTAACCACCTTCGCAGACGAATGCGCAACAGCATCCCACGTAGCATCCTACCTCCCGCAAGCCTTCCAAAAATACAACGTCACAACAAAAGGCGAAATGGCCGCCCTCCTCTCCCTAATGGCCTTCGAGACGGGCGACTTCCGCTACAATCGCAACCACTTCCCCGAACCGGGCCGCCCGGGGCAAGGAACCCGCAACCTCCAGATGGCGAAGTACAATCTCATGTACGCCCTCTCGATCCCGGAACTGAAAGACAAGGCGACCGAGATCGCGGGCGGCGTCACGGACGGAAACAGCTTGACCGACGACAAGAAGAACCAGATCCTCGAGCTCGTCATGCCCGACGACTACACCTGGGGCTCGGCCGCCTGGTTCCTTACCACGCAGTGCGACGCCGACGTCAGGGAGAACCTCGCGGCCGGCACGGTGAAGGGGTTTACCCTCTACATGGACTGTATCGGCACCTCGGGCACCGAAGACCGTGTCGCGTACTGGGCTAGGGCCAAGGGGGCTTTCGGGCTGGCATGAATATGAGATCGATACTCCGGAGCTGGACTCTGTGAATTGTTCCCTACCTTCAACTTTTTCAACTTCTTGTATATATATCATTACAATTTGGGTGGCAGCATCGGATAGGGATATGAATCACACGAATATATCACCAGTCTCAGTGACCATCCTGGCGCAACGAAGCTTTGAGAGTGAAAACCGTGGTTTCTACAAGTGTAGAGCCCCCCATATGTTCATTTCTGTAAAGTTATGTTCGGGGTCGCAAAAAAACGACACACAAACTATGTACGCCTAAAGGTGGTCTTGCGGGTATACGGATGCCTCGAGTGTGTGTCCTCGGCCATCCTGGATTACCAACCATTAGAGCAAAGAAGTGAATAGTTTCCACCTGGGCTCCCCGCCCGGTCGCTCGTCCACCAGAAAACAAGTCCAACACCAAAGGTGAAGAGAGGTCGAAAAGGAATACACAAAATGACTACACACTAATATCTAAGAAAGTAAGCTGTCGAATGAGCGTTGTGAAAAAAAAAGACTTGTTGCTGTTTGGTCGGGAGTTTGATTTTGATGTTTTCGTCTTTGGTTTTTTTTTTCTTTTTCGCATGTAAAGTCTGCTGTTTCTTTTAGTTCGAATATTCGGAACACGTATCAAAGCTGGGATGTCAGGCAAGGCGACAAAGTGATGTTATTAAAACGTCCTATAGAATCTAAGTTATAATCGGTACTCTCAACAGCAAGGCGCGTGGTAGAGAAGCGGGCAGCAGATGCGGTGGATGTCCCAGAGGGAGGTGGAGGTGGAGGTGAAGGCTTGTGACGACGAGGGGGAGGGGGAGGAGGAGGACGCTTGCCTATGCCACCTGCGCAGATACCCGTCCCCATGACCTTGTCTGCCGGAACGAACACGAGCGGCTCCCCGCTCCCGCTCGTCGCCTTGAGCACGCCTGTCGCATCCGTCACGTAGGGTCGGCACTGAACGACCTCGAGAATCAGCTTGCACGGCCGGAAACCCGTGTCTTCCTGGGCCAGAGACACGCTGTAGGTGCGGTTGGTGCCGACGTTGGAGTAGACGCTCACAACCTGCCCGTCGTCGAAGCCCTTGCGCATGGCAATGGTGTGGTCGTCCGTGTGGATGGGTTGGGACTTGTAAAAGAGGTACCCGCCATCCAGCGCCGCCAGCGTCGAGCGCAGGGACACGAACTTGGAGATCCAGCGATAGAGCTCCGATTGAGTGTTGAACCCCGTCTGCCACAGCGCCTCGCGGTTGTACGGTGTCTCGCCGCCGTTGAACCCCTGCTCCAGACCCTGGTAGATGATGGGAATACCATCCATGAGGAGACTGAAGGTCAGCGCGTTCTTGAGGAGAGTGCGATCCGAGGTATGGTTCAGGAAGCGAGGCTGGTCGTGGTTCTCGAGGAAGCCCCCGTACAGCGTCAGGTCACGCGCCGTTGCGATGAGCGTCTTGATGCCATTGGAAAGGTTCCAGATGCTGCCCGTCGTCGACTGGAAAGCCTGGGTAAGCCAGTAGTACACGGGATAGTTCATAACACCGCTCATGACGTCCTGGTACGGGGCCACGTAGACTGGGTCGCCGTGAAAGACCTCGCCAAAGGCGGCGACACCGGCCGAGGCCTCGAACGCTGGCCAAAAGGACGGCTCGACGTGCTTTGCGCTGTCGAGTCGCAGGCCATCGAAGCCGAAGCGGCGGACCTCACGCTTGATCCAGGCGTTGAAGACCTGGCGCACGCGAGGGTCCTCGGTGCGAAGATCCGGCAACGAAGCGGCGTCGGTACCCTGCCAGCATCTCTCGACCGAGTCCTGGTTGGAATAGTCGATGACGCAGGGCGGCGTGTGGTAGGCCGAGGCGTTGGAAAAGGGGCGGTAGATGGAGTAGTCGACCGTGTTACCGGGACCGAGCCAGGCCATGTGGTTCGTGACAACGTCGGCCATGAGGTACATACCGCGGGCGTGGATGGCATCGGCGAGGAAGATGAGATCCTCGGCGGTGCCGAAGCGAGGGTTGACCTCCCAGATGTCCTGCGCCCAGTAGCCATGGTACGATTCGCTGATGTTGTGTTAGTTAGAGTTTCATATATGCTGAGCTGGGTTGAGTATTCGCTTCTGAGCTGTTTATCAACTCTCGTGAGAGCACAACTTCTTGTACCTCAACTCCAAATGACTGCAAATAAAAGGCATCAACTCACCCGTCACGGGATTTGCCCTGGACATTCTTCACAAAGGGCGAAATCCAGATAGCCGTCGCACCGAGACCCTGAATGTAATCCAACTGCTGCGCAATGCCCAACCACGAACCACCACAGTACGTCTGATCCGACATCTCGCACCTCGCCGTCGTCGACCCGTCCGTCCGCGCGAATCGGTCCGTCATGACCTGGTAAATCGTCTGGGACCGCCATTCCGCCGCGCTCAGTGCCGAGACGGCGCTTTGGTGCAGAGCGGCGGCGGCCGCCAGGATCGACCACGTCGTAGGAGCCTTCATCGTTCCGCGGGCTTTCGGGCTTCCGAGAGTGAGAGTGAGAGTTACCGATATTCGAAGAAAGAAAGAAAACAGACTAAACAGGAAAAGAAAGTAAAGAAAAGTGACGAAACAACAAACAAAAAAAGAGTGTACAGAACAAGTCTAAACAGCAAAAGAAAAGCGTGAAACTTCGTGAATAGCGTCCAAGTCGTGACTTATATGTTCCTTTTCTCCCCTTCAACCTTAAACCCGAAACGGGCTTAGGACAACAACGAGTAATCGGATAGACTTCTTGGCGGACCTTCAGTCTGAACTTTTTTTTGACAAGATTAGACGGTTGGCCCCATGCCAGGTCTGCGCTCTCGAGCCTTTTCTCGCAGGATCTGGAGCAGGGGAGCCCCCCAGAGCCGAATAAGGCGGCGGAATACGGAGTAGGGCGCGGCGGCAAGAGTGCGATGCTTTGAGATAGCGTAGGCGAGACTTGCGGTTCAGCCGCCCGTTGGGAGGCTTGCTGATGTGCGTCGAAGGAAAAGGAAACCGGGGCGCTGGGCCGGCTTTGCGAAAGCTTAACAGATTATAAGAGATGAGCTACAGCGGAGATTGAGTAAGGTGACTTACCCTCGAAGCCGTAGTCAACGGAACAGGCGACGTCTGGCTCCTGTTCGGGGTCCTCAGGGGCCGGGGCGCGATGTCAGGTAAGCCAAGCAGGCTGTATTGTATCCGAAAGGATAGTGATACCCTCGGTCTCTGACTCTTTCGCTGCCAGTCAGTTGATGGCGGTAAGGATTGGATAATGATGATCGAAGAGTCGTTGGTGGACTATGAAGAGATGGATGGTGGAAGCCTTGAGGAGGTTGAAGTCGAGTCCCAGTTCCCTGCCCCAAAAAAGAAAACTTGCCAGGAACCAGGAACCAACTCGACTTTTGAACTAAAGGAAAAAAAGAGAAAGAATACGAGTTCCCCTTCCCTCTGCCTTTTCTCGTTGTTGCAGCTTCCAGACCCGGGACCGGGGACGGGAGAAGGTCAACAGGGCAAGGTCCCGTGGAGAACTTCTTGAGCGGACGCCCGCCCCCACCTCCTTCTTTCGATTTTTCTTCAAGAAGGCGGCTGTGAAAGGGGGGGTCGTATTAACTGGGGTAGGTAGACATGATCGGCCCTATCAGCGGGGTTATCCCATCACTCACCGCTCCGGGATGCCGCTACCAACGGGGGGTATTTGGGGACTTTCCTAGAGACTGGTAAAGCGATGGGTATCGGTGTTGCCAAGGTCCGGAAAGGCCAAGTCAACAACCACTGCCAGGGTCTTCTTCTTCTTTCTGCTCGTTGTGGTTGTAAGGCTTTAAGCGAAGGGGGGGGGGGGGTCAGAGGTCCGAAATGGGAAACAGGAGAAAGGGCGGAGTTGAGTTTTGCTTGGGCGAGATGGTTGAGAGAAAGAAAAAAGTTAAGCAATGGCCGAGAAATGAGATGGAAACTTGGAAAGCTTAGGGGGCCGTTGCCAAGACCGAATAAGTGATGCCGTTGCTGATCTTGATACCAAACAGCAAACTTTACTTTTGCTCTATCTCACCCTCTCATTCTGTATTTTCGTACCTACTGCGCGCTATTGCTCACTACTATTCGTACCTCGCTTTCGCCCGGCGCGTATTGGCAACTCAAACGGGTAACTAGAACGCGAGCCCATCACTTGTCCATGCTTTCATTAATTACAGATGAAAAAAAAAGTAATAGGTACTGGACACAGTGGACAGATTACCTGCCCGGCGACATGACTCGGCAACGTCAAGTGGACAGTGCTCGCGCGTCGCCGCGTCCACGGGTGCTTGAGGGGGGAACCATCAACCAACGACTCAAAGATCCCGTGGTCGTGGTGCGGCGTGCCATGTTCCTAACGCCGCGAGAGTGTTCCCAACTTCCTGTTCCTGTTCCTGCCTATACCCCCACCAATACGCGCAAGCCAAGATCCCCCCTCCCCGCATTATTCCTTCACCACGCTGCAGGCACAGGATTCACATTTCACGTTGACGTGTTGGGCCTGACGCAAGGCACACGGCGCGAGGAAACCTAAGGAAAAGAGAGTTGCTACTGGCATCTGCAGGACATAACTCACTCACTCACCACCACCACCACCACCACCACCATCACCTCCGCCGAACCTCCGCCCGCCCACCTCAGCCGTCGCACATGGTGTCAGGGACGGACCGAATCCTGTGCATACCGCCGGCATGGGCGCCGAATGCCACGCCGGACGGCCACCTCTCCACGCCCGCTTTGGGACCTGTCATCCCGTCCATGTGGCCAACCACCACACTTGCGGTTCATCCAATGTCACCTCAAGGCGGAGTCTCCACGATTTACCTTCCCGTCTCTCTGGCACGTGTAACTTGGTAAAGGTAGAACAAGAAGCACGTGTAAAAAAGGGAGCAGGGTATTGCATTTTCCAAATGTCCTAAAAATCTGGAATCATCTTTCTATCCAACCATGCCGAGCCTAACGCGGAGGTGAGTATGCCTAGTTCCCCATTTTGTCCACCTGAACGAACCAATTGCTCAGGCCTTCCTGATTCTGTCATTGATCTCATCGTCACATTACCTCCCTCATCATTGCACTGCTCTCCCCCGCTTCGGGCCTTTAACACGTCCTTAGCCCGCCATGCCGCCGTTGGCGTTGCCAAACGGCATCCCGTTGCCGTCCGTTTCTGG